CATCTTTGCATAGGTTTCCTCTGGGTACTCCGGTTTCCCCTACCACCAGTGTTGGGCACGTTACTTCTAAAAAGTAATTAGTTATAGTTACTTCTCCCAAAAAGTAACTGAGTTACTCACTGAGTTACTTCACTATAAAAGTAACTAGTTACCAGTAAAAGTAACTATTGTGAGCTTTAGCTGGTTGTAATTTAGGATAACTTCTAAGTAGATTAATTGTTGCAACAACGCCACCCCATTTTATTTTAGGGAACTGTCCTGCAAGGCACACAGGTAATTTTAAGACAGGCCAAGTTTCTATTTAAATTACATAGCATTTATTTTTATACATTGATCAAACAAAACACATTATAAAACTTGCAATCGAAAGAGACTATTTTAAAATGATTAGTTCCTACATACACACACAACCCCTCCGTTCAGCAGCCCTCGTGCCTGACAGACCAGAACAAGGGAAAATGCGCTGCACAGAGCGCACAGAGCGCGCTGAGCGCAGCTGGAGCATCTACAGCCACTGGAATAATGTGAACAGGGCAATAGAGGCGGTGGGGAGCAGAATAGATTATTAGAGGGAAGTATAGCAGCAATGATAAAGGCCGCAACAAGGTGGAAAAGTGTGCAAAGCAGTAATCAAGCTGTGTAAAATTAGTGGTGTGGGGCTGCGGTCCTGTAGCAGCGCTGGGACTGGAGAGAGGAGCAAACTCCCGAGGCCCAGCAGGGCGTGTGGGCAAGCAGTTCATTGTGCGACTTACCGGAAGTAGCCGGCCGGCTCTAATGCTAACAGAGCTATGCTAGTGGCTTCTTGTGTACAGATCTTCTCCAATATGCAGCTTTGCAGCGTGTCTTTGCTCACAGACATTCCACAGGCTTTATACAACAGCAGTATGTGTTCACGGAGGTGCGCCATACGTTTTTTCATATTATTCAACGGTATTTCCGCATCGGCGAACACACTCGAAGCCGTTGCATAAGGTCACGGGAGCATGACAACGCATATTTTCACAAGCACAGAGTCCCCCCGTTGTCAACCCTGGTTTGAGTTCTGGTGAAGCCTCGTGGGGGTCCTGTTTTGGCTGTTTATGAGTACTTTCAGTCTGCTCGCTCAGTCCGCTAATGTCCCCGTGACCACTTTGCTGTTCTCTGATTGGTTGTCGCACGAACGTCCCAAGGACGTTGATTTTTCGCTCCTGCTCCTCCCTTTTCACTTTCCCGCCAAGTCCGTGCGTCATTACTGAACAGTCCATTTGTGCGTGCCGAGAGGTCCGTGCGTTGTGACGGTCGAACGCGCGCCACCATAGACTTTGCATTGAAACCTGACGCAACGCATGATCCGGTCTGAAAGCACCATTACAGTCAAAGTAATTAGTTAGATTACTTGTTACTGAAATAAGTAACGGCGTTAGTAACGCCGTGTATTTCAATGCTGTCATTCCCAATCACTGCCCACCACTAAAAACATGTAAAATAGGTCTGGCATGCGCCTCCTGTACTGGTGACCCCACTCCCATATGTCTGTGGAGTGAGAGTACAAATGCCCAAAATAAAACAATTGTAAACCGCTTTGAGACTCTGGTCTGTGGCGGTATATAAATAAAGATTACTTACTTAATACTACACATATAACAACATAGAACCATCAACATCTCGCTTCAAATTGCATTCAAAGTGACATCTGTGTCTTAATTTGTTCGTATTTAAACGTTTTTTTTTTTAATTCACAGACTTTATGTCCGTCATCTTGGTTTGATTGATGCGCGAGAAGGCGGTACAAACCCGACGTAACACCGCCGATCCTGATTGGCCGGTTATTATTGGATCTCCTGATGGAGTTTGCAATGCGCTCGAGCTCAGACCCTTTTGTTCAGCAAAACGTCTCCGGTGGAGCATGGCGGAAGTACAAGGATCAGGCTATCTGGATATACCAGAGATGAGAATATTCCGCGTATCTGCAATTTCCAACTTTTTTCCACTGAAAATTTAATATCTGTGAAATGTGTGACCGTGGGCACTTGCTGCTGTTTGCTGCACGTACTTGAATAGGATTGACGTCCTCCATTCTGACCCCGGGTGGAACTCATTGGCCTATAATAATGTGGAAAACAACTGCATCTGCTTTGTAAAGACAGCGCCCCTGTGTCTCCCACCGAAGTGTAACCAAAACTCACAAAATTAAAGCTTTTTTCCCTTGCATTAACAATGCATGTCGGTTCTACACAAAAGTAAAATGTTGTGAACAAACCTCATCAGGAAAGCTTGTATTTTATTTTGCATACTTAAAGAAGCTATACTCGATTTTTTTTCTTAGTAGTTCATAAAAATCCTCATTACTACATACAAGTTGTATTTTAATCCATAATTTAATTGAAAATTTGAGGTCATTGATTCAGTTGTTTATGAATACAGGCCGTGAAAAGTGCTGAGTAGAGTCTTAGCGGGCCGTTTGTTCTCCTCCACTCACAGAACGAGCAGTGAACAGCCTGCGTCCTCTAGCCTCTACAGCGCTGCTCAACACCAGGGCTTCGACTTCGAAATTCGAATATAATTCTAAAATAAAAATATATATATGTATTCAAACAAATATTAGACAGCCCTTATAATTTGAAATGTATTTAATGACTGCAAATAAAATAGTTAGCTCCCGAAGGTATTCACCGGGACGTGCTAGGCAGGTAACAGCTAAGCTAGCTAGTTCAAAAACTCTCTGGAACTACATGAAAACTGAACAAAGAATTCTGAACATCAGCGGTGAGTTACCCATTTATATACCGAACCTAAATCCATCAGATCCCCTTCAAATATGTCCTAAAATGTTCGTTTCATGTTAATGGTTACTTCCGGGTTTTTGATTTTACTTTCGCTTTTTGTCACAATAAAACAGTATTTTTGTCATGAAAACGTTAATAGCAAATTCTGAAAACGTCCGTGCATGTGTGTTAAGGTTGTATATGTATACTGCATTGTCTGATTAACATATAATTGATATGTATTTGTTTGAGCGTGGCTAGCTCGGCTAGCTTCCCTGAACAGAATCAGAATCAGAATCATTTTTATTGCCACGTAAGTAACAGGAAGTCACAGACTTGGAAATTGCTTTGGCTCAGTGCAACAGTCAGAAAGAGATAATAAAAAATAGAGAATAAAAAACACTTCTAAGGAATACATTTCAATTTAATGCACAGACAATAGTGTGCGGAGAAGCTCCACAGTGTAGTGACCGGTGCTAAAAGCTTGTTGTACTTGCAGAGTAATGTTAGTATTTTACACACCTGAATTACAAACAGAGATTGCATTACCAAAGGGCAGCGGTCATTATGGGTTTGAGAGTTCTGTTATCAAGAAAAAAGTCAATGGAGTGTTCTACTGCTGCTGTGAGGAGCTGTATAATGAATTATAATTAAATATTAGAATATTTTCTAAATGAATACATTCGGATGCGAAACTAGCGTTATTCTTTTACCTATATATTGTGTTAGCAGTGCGTTGCTTTAGTACCATTTCATCGGTGATTGTTGTACAGCTTACGAGAAGTTGCGCTAATGCCAATGTTAGCAGACTTGGAGATTCTTGTCTAAAGCAGACTTGGAGATTCTTATCCATGCATTTGTCTCCAGTAGGTTAGACTACTGCAATGGCCTGCTCACAGGTCTGTCCAAACAGGCTGTAAAACAGCTGCAGTACATTCAAAATGCAGCAGCTCGAGTCCTGACTAGAACCAGGAAGTACGACCACATTAGTCCAGTCCTCAGGTCCCTGCACTGGCTTCCTGTGGCTCAGAGAATAGACTTTAAAACAGCTCTGCTTGTGTACAAGTCTCTCCATGGCCTCGCACCAAACTATATTAGTGACATGTTAGTCCCATATGAACCAGCCCGGACTCTGAGGAGCACAGGGACTGGACTCCTGTTGGTGCCCAGAGTCAGAACTAAACATGGGGAGGCTGCTTTTCAGATTCAAGCTGCTAAAATCTGGAACAATGTTCCTGAAGATGTGAGACAGGCCTCCTCTCTGACAATGTTTAAAACCAGGTTAAAAACGGTTCTGTTTAGCTGTGCATACAACTGAGGGATTTTATATGTTTATGTTTCTTTTTAATGTTCTGTGATTATTTATGATTTTAATGCTTTATTATTTTGTTCAGCACTTTGAATTACCTTGTGTATGAATTGTGCTATATAAATAGCCTTGCCTTGCCTTAATGTTAGCATGCTAATGTTAGCATACATATCAGATTGCAAATTGAACTAGATGGCTCTGTGTTATGAGAGCGTAGGGGAAATGAGAAGTCTGAGCGAGTTGGGGGGCAGTGCTAACCATTCAAACCTTGCAGAAACGGGTATTGCGCCTTTAAGAACCCTGTGGGTCATTATTTGACTTTTTGGGCTGAGAGAGGATTGATTTCCACACAGTTAGTGCCACTTTATTGCCAAACTCGTGTTAACTCATTGTATTGAAAAATATTTGGGAAAGTAACTTTTGACATTGGGTAAGTAAAATATAAATTATACTTTCCCAAAGGGCAAGTGGCTGACAAAGCTTAATGTCAAGGCTTGATTATAAAGACATGATTTCCAATATTTTTAAACTTTTTATTTGTGTATTTGGAGGAGGCCGTGCATCCGTCCTCACACAGTGGAACTCACAAACACGCACACAAACACGCACGCGCAAACACGCACACACACGTTTTTAGTGGTAGAGGAAGACGGAGCATACACAGGAAGAAAATTCCAAATCACATAGAAAGGCCCCATCTCAAGGTGGGCCAGTGCCAACCATTCTGCCAACGTGCCGCCGGTTCCATAGTTTGGAGGTGTGAGCTGACCTCAGGACTGAGTACATCAGGTGATTGTATATGCCATAACCAACTCTGCCTTTATCTTTACATGTGTTAAGGTCAGGTTGAAACAACATGGGAGAGAGAAGACTGTTAGTAATTGTAAAGGTGTCAGAGATTGTTCCATGCACTTACCCTGGTGTGTGCTTTGTGTGTTGTGTTGCAGAGCTTTGAGGGGAACACAAACGCAGAGGGGGTGGTTCAGAACAGACTCTCTCAGCCTGTGAGGACACGCTTCCTCCGACTGGTGCCCGTGGACTGGAACCGCAGCGGCTGGATCGGACTGAGGCTGGAGATCTACGGCTGCTCCTACAGTCAGTACCACACAAAACAAATTGTATTCATGTTGAGGCCATAACTGATATTGTCAATCAACCAAATATGAAAACAGATTCCCATAGAACTGCAGTAAACTGTATCAATAGATTTAGAATCAGAAAACTTTATTGATCCCAAAGGGTAGTTGCAGCAGAATATCAGAGCAGACACAATCGCACTCTACACAAACATAAATTGTGTCAGGCCTCACAGTTCACGTAGCAGCAGGTTACAATAGTGAGTTAAAACAATTCAATACCTTACAATATGATGTATTTAAAAACAAGCATAGGTACACAATCATTTACAGGTTCAACAGATAATTATAGACAAAAACTTACCCTTTATACTGTATATATGCACATGTAAACACTGTCTTCAAAAAAAGGCTTTTTTTTTTTTTCATGACCTCTCGCGGCCCCCCTGCAATACCCTCGCGGCCCACCAGGGGGCTGCGGACCCCACTTTGGGAGACACTGCTCTATAGGATACTCAAGGGATCATGGGAGTTCGCCCAATCTCTCCACATGTGTGCTTTGTGGATTTGGAGATGGCATTCAACCATGGGATAGAGGTGGAGAACATGGGCCACTCAGACTCAATGTCCTTTTCCTCCATCAGGACCTGGGAGAAGCTCTCCTGGAGGTGTGAGAACTTTTGTTTTTTTTAATGTGTTCCACCCATAGAATACATGGGAATATCATCGGGCATAGTCACGCCTATCTCCACCATTGAAGCTAATGTGCCACCACTTTTGCCTTCTGCGGGCTTTTCAAAATGGCCACGGGGCAGGAGAATTTGAGATTTCGAGAGGAAAGAAGACAAGACAGAAGAATTTATTTGTCATTTGCAGTAAAACCACATTGGAAAAACTGTCCGAGATTACCCCAGTGTGCACCAGACACATTCACAATAATATAAACACACCAGAGCTCTTGCTTTGGCGCCATACAAAAGCATTGGGTAATTCTCATTCTGGATCCACCCCCTATCGACTAGGAGTGAGATAGAAAGCATGTCTGCGCACTTCCTTATGGCCTTTTTGAGCCAGAACCCACCCCCCACTGGTTCCACTCGAGCTCATAAATCTCAATTTAAACTGTGAAAGCAGATTTGTTCAAATTTGTCTGCAGACAAATATATGTAAACATTCCCCATGTTCTTTATATGATAACACCACTTTTGGCTATTTATTGTGTGCATGTTTTGTTGTAGCAAAACCCTATGGAAAATCATTGTATGAATAAAATGCAAAAATATATCAACTAAAAAAATGTATTTGACGTTTATTTGACAGTAAATGGATTCACACACTAATAATGTGTGCGTTTATCATTTATAATGATCTAATTATATAGTAAATAAACTTGATAAAGCTTATTGCATGCAAATTGATCAGTTATTGTTGTCATTATCTCCCATGCAATAATGCCGGCAACTTTTTTACATAGGTCCCTTCCTGATATGGCTCTTGTTGAAAAGTCAACACACTACACAATTAAATGAAAAATGGCTTCCTCTGAGCTGTGATTTTGTGCTCAAAAGAGAGAACAAAAAATTGTATTCATCTTTTGAATGCACCAGAAGGTGAATACCAGTTTAGAATTCATGCATACTTTTATACAGTGTGTTCACAAGCACCCAATACCTAACGTCCACCCAGTAATGCTTAATACGGTATTTTTAACAAGGCAAGGCTTGATAAATAGACTCCCATTTTCTGATTATAATTTCCATGGTTCAATATCGCTCGTCTTATTTGTTATTACTCGACAGGTCTGGGGATTTGCAGAGTCGTCGGCCCGGTAATGAAATGTTCGTGCGCGCCGTATATATATTTTTGTTCGGAGGGTTGTTTTCATGCATAGCTATCCTGCGGTCGGATCCATAAATGTGTGCGAGAGCCCTGGAGAGAGTGCTTTAAAACAGAGGAATCTCAAATAAAACCACGGCGGCTCAAACCACGGCCCAGTGTGAGCGGTGAACACAATCACACTGGCAGATGAGGTTACACACGTGTCAGACTGGAGGGTTCTTATGTAGGTGTGTGCAGCAGATAACAACACTGTTACAGGTTATTATTCTGCAGGGGAATTGGTTTATGGGCAATTTACACTGAAAACTAGTAAGATAAAAACTACAATATCATAGTGGAAAAAAAAGCAATGGAACAAGCACATTTGCTTTGATTACAATTCTTGAAAAAGTATTTTTTTTGAAGTATTTTTTATTTAGTTTGATATAAGAAAGTAAAAACTCAAATAGCTACTTAACTGGTTTAAAAAGAATGATGAGTGGGGATGATCCAGGACGCTCGACATTTACCAACGTGTATGGACATTGGTCATCTGCCCCTTTTGGACCAATGGCTCCATGTGATTTTTATCATTTCATCGCTTGTGTTTGAACTGTTTGATTCTCTGATCCATTTTGGAGAATTCAACAGTTTTGTAAAGTCCTCAGAGATAACTATTGTTGTGATTTAGGGCTACATAAAAAGAAATTGAATTGAAATGAGTTAATCCACGGACCGAGCTAATTAGACAAGATGAAATGAAAACCTATGTGGTTTTCATTTCATCTTGTCTAATTAGCTCGATACAATCATGATACAAATGTTGAGGAGGAAAAATACACTACTTTATACTTCTTATCTTATTTGAGACTTTTTTGTCTTGTTTTCTTAATTATAACACTATTTAGTGTCTCTATCCATGCCAAATGTGACATGTAAATTTCTCCTCTGTGAGATAAATAAAGCTTATCTTATCTTATCTTAAATTGCAGTGTTATGGACCAAGTCCTGTTTTATCTGTCCTTGCCTCCACCCGTCAGATCCTCCCACATACAGCTGACAGATGTCCCACCCCAGACCTGTGTGGTAATCAGGTTCCATTATTGACCGTCCATTGGATCAGTGGGTCCTGCTTCTGCACCTTAGAGCATTTTGTTTATAGTGATCAGAATGGTGGTTATGCAGTAAAACAAGTACAAAAAACAGTTTTTTCCTGAAATGTGTAAACAAGGATAAGGTTGATGTGTTTGTAGTGTAGATATTACACTTTATCTCAAATAATCTCTTTGAACTTCTCTAAACTTCCCTCAATAAAGGGAAAATAAATCTGCAGTTTTAATGTTGTTGTATTTTGTTCTATTCCTTTCTGCAGTCAAATTGTGTTCATAACAAGGCTATGCTTACATCAGTGCCCTCAATTATTTTCTTCTACAACCATCCTTCAGAAAGAAAAAAGCATTTTACGCATTTGGCCCACTTTTTCCTAGAATTGGTTCTGGACTCAACGTGGCTTTTGTCAAAATACATTTGTAATTGTGGTCTTATTCCACTTAATCAATAAATTAACCAACACAGATCAAAGAATACAAAAAATTAAAACACAAGAAATGCATTGATAAATAATGCATGGGTCCATAAGGAGCGGATGAACCAATGTCCATGAATGTAATTTAAAAAAGAAGCATAATAAGGACAAAGATCTTCCAAAAAAGTCAAAGTGATTTCTATTCATGTACTTTTACCCACAAAAGCATGACATCCTTCTCTCTCCATTCTACATTCCATCTCGCTCACCCTAATCCTGGTCTCTGGTTTGTCTCGCGCAGAATCAGACGTGGCAGACTTCGACGGCCGCAGCGCACTCTTGTACCGGTTCAACCAGAAGTCGATGTCTACGGTGAAGGACGTGATCTCGCTGCGCTTCAAAAGTCGACAGGCAGAGGGCGTCCTGCTGCACGGAGAGGGCCAGAGGGGAGACTACATCACCCTGGAGCTGCACCGGGGGAAACTGGCTCTCTACCTCAACCTGGGTCAGTATCAGTGCAGAGCAACTTTATAAGAGCTGTAATAGGACCTTTTCACACACTGTTTTGGTTAAAGCTGGGGTACGTAACATTCAAACCACAAAACAATTGACCGAAATGGTTTTCACGATAAAGTATTTTCGTGATCTTCAGTATAGCTTTTTTTCAGGTAGATTGAGACCACACTAAAGAACCTGATCAAAAATAAGGGCATGAACGCAAGTAGTACATTTTGACTGTATTAAAAGTGTTTTTTTTTTCTATCTATTATCAGCCCAAAGTGTTTTTTTTTATTGAGATGAAGACATGTTGATGTCTAATTTGAAGACTTTTTCTATTGGAAAAAATACTACTATTTGTACCAACATACTATTATTATTTATGAAGCAAAAAAGTTACGTAACCCAGCTTTAACTGAATTTGTGGCCCCCTCCCATACTGTACTCAAGTGATACTTGTAGTAATAAAAGAGATGTAGTGTGGGCATATAGAGGCGCAGATGACCAATGTCCATACAGGGTAATAAATATCTATAGATGTTGAATGTTGAGTGTCCTGGATCATCACCACTGTCCTTATGTTAGACCCTCCTGCATCTGCAAGGAACAACTCTAAAACCCGAAAAGGTGAGAAACCTTGGGGAGGCCCACATTGAGAGAGGGATCCTCACCCATAGGCGGACGGGCTTTAGCCTTAAGAAATAATTCCTTTTGAAACTGACTTTTGAAGGAGTCAATAAACTCCATCAACTGCAGAGAGAGCTAAAGATTGTTCCAGGTCTTGGGCGCTTTTTACAGAAGTTAGCTTTTCTGGTATATTTTTTTGGAATAAAATGTATAATCTGGATCAAAGGTAAAGAAGGATTTTTAGCCTAGAAAATATTGATTTGTCTATTTAACTTTATAAAATAACAGGCATGGCCGTCTTCTTGATAAGATTAGGTATAACATGTCAGCTTATGGTTTATATAGTGTACAACCTCTCACCATCAATGCTTGGAATTTAACAACAATAATTGAGAATGATTTGTGGCCCCACTTTCGGCACCCCTGGTTTTTACAATTGAAAATAGAACTTGGGAAACAAGAACATAACCAATAGATACTGGTTTATAATAGGATCTGATTGCGTCTTGTTAGCTCAACTTAGTATGTACGTCTTTAACTGCTTATTCAGAAAATCCTTGTAGTCATTAATGTCAGGGAATCACATTTCTGATTACTCCCTGTTAATTTCCTGTTCGTGATTACTTGCGAATATTAATGTAATCTGCCGAGGTTGAGCCCTATGTAATTAGCCTCATTTTGTTACCGCCGCTAAATAATGATGACATTTGCAAACAAACCGGGCCGGCATTAGCACATCGCTGCGCACACTGGAATTAAGGCATTACTTCTGCTTCTCCGTTCAATTCAATTCATAAAATTGGTCTCTCAATCTTATCATATTGTGTCATGCCAGAATCAGGACAGATACATTTACACCACTGTTCACAGAAGAGCATCCTGGGAACTGCCTGTGGTGGGCTTAATTAAAGCAATTGGTAATTATTAGAGGAGAAAGCTTTGATCGCCATGGAAACATATTACTTAATGTGGGTGTAAAATGTTGCTCTGTGAGTTATTAGGTTGGTTAATATTCTCGGTGTTGTGCAGAAGTGATCCATGGTAGAAACAGTTCCAAAAGTAGCTATAACAGAACAAAGCTGGGGTCCTCGACTTTTAAACACAAAAACTTTTAATAATGTATTCAATTCTATGGCAAGGCAAGTTTTTTTGTATAGCACAGTTCCTACACAACACAACTCAAAGTGCTGAACAAAACAAGATAGAAATAATCACACACGACAATAAAATCATTAACAATCACAATAAATTATAAAGAAAAAATATTTAAAAAGACAAAGAAAAAATCCTTCAGTTATAAGCACAGCTAAACAGAACCGTTTTAAACCTGGACTTGATTGTCAGAGAGGAAGCCTGTCTCACATTTTCAGGAAGACTGTTCCAAATTCAAGCTAGCCTTCTCAATGTTTTTTTTTTTCTTTTGTTTTTTTTTTTCTCTCAAAGCAGTTTTGGTTAGTGTTAGGGTTTGGTTCTGTCATTAGTTTATAAGTGCATGTATTTGCGGCCTTTGTACTGATAGAAAAGTGGGGGGAAAAAGTACCAAGTAGTGACTCACAAGGCACTGCAAAACAGTTTCTAACCAGATGGCATGCTGTGGTCTGATTTGTTGACGACATTTTACAATGTTGAGTTCAGATAGCTTTTTCTATTAGCTCAGAGCTTTACATACAGTTGTGTCAAAACAGAAAATTACATGAATGTTTGTGTAAGCGCTGTATAGAGACCCCTTCCTAAGCTTTCTGTCATGTACTTCAGCTTTTGGTCAAGATGTTAAAAAGCTGTTTAAGTTCTGAAAAGCTCTCAATCATTCGCATTTTGAGATTGTTTAAGTATGTGAGTGTAATCTTGAACTGCTGAAAATAGCGGGAAAAAAATAGCTTGACTATTTCAAGATTGCAAAACTATTACATGACGTCTCTGCATCCTTGTATCTCCCCACAGATGACACTCGCCTGCGCTTCAGTGGCGGGCGGGTGGCGGTGACCGTGGGCAGCCTGTTGGACGACCAGCACTGGCACACGGTGGTGATGGAGCGGTTCAACAGGCAGGTCAATCTGACAGTGGATGCGCACAGCCAGCACTTCACCACCAGGGGGCAGGGCGACTCGCTGGAAGTGGACTACGAGCTGAGTTTTGGAGGAATTCCGCTGCCGGGCAAACCTGGGACCTTTCTGCGCAAGAACTTCCACGGCTGTATCGAGAATCTCTATTACAATGGCATCAACATCGTGGACCTGGCCAAGAGACGCAAGCCGCAGATTTACTCCGTGGTAAGTACCGAGAAGAGCTGGGGCCGGGTTTTTGTAGCTGGTTTGGTTCAGGTGAGGGCGAGTGTTTTGGGGCTCCGCCTATAAGATAATGCAGCTTCCTGGGAGTTCCCTTTTCAAAGCACTTTGAAAATTGATACGTGTACGTCTTGTCGAAGCTTTTTTAAAATAAATGTCTCCTACGGGGATTAATAAAGTATCTATTTATAAAGAAAATTTAATTGGATTGAATTGAGGGTGATTTTAAATTTTACTTTGTGTGAACTTCTAACGCTGAGTTCAGTTTAGAGCTGGGATGTCAAAGTCAAATACATCAGAGGGCCAAAGTCCAAATTTGCTACAAGCCAAGGGCCGGACCGGTTCAATGTTTAAACATTGCAATCGTTTTTATTAAAACAAATTAAAATGATTATATATAATCTATTGAACCAGCACCTAACACAGTGTACCGTATCTTATTTAATGATTAAATTAATAATCCAAAATGTTTGTCTGGCTGTTTCGTGCAGCTGCTTTTCCCTTTATGAAACACTTTCATTTTTCTCCACTTGGCAGTTCTCCCTCATGATGCGATGACCCAGCCTGTTTCTGTGACTTCAGACGACTTGTTTTGAAAGTTTAAAGTTTATCTTGTGCTGCATCACCTGCGAAGTAACTGTGTGATTTACTTCTAACATGCAGCTGATTGGTCAAAAACATCCAGTCAGCTTTTGGCTGATCGGCCAAAAAATGATGGGGGCCAAATTACATACGAAGACAAGTGATATAAGTGATTGAACCAAACTGTTTTGAGAGTGAGGAACTATTTAAATGGAGTGTACGCTAGAACTTTTTGTTGTTGTGTTTTTAAAGTTAGATGCTTTAGTTGTGTTTTGTGTGTCTGTTTACTTTGAGCATTTGAAATACAGACAACAGTGCTGCTCACATCTGCTTTCTGCTCCTGAATTTAACGCTGTTTTGTGTAAAATGTTTGACTTTTGCCACATCTGACAACAACAGGCTTTGTTAGAGTAAATTGATCTCTGACACCTCAATTGTCGTGCCTGGGTTAAGTGCATTTTGATCAATTGCTTTAAATTGGACGGTGACGTTTATCAGATTTTCCTCCTCCCATGTAAACTGACTCCACGCAGCCACCCTGCATTGCACCAGGCTCGGGTTTGATGTAGAGTTACACATTTATCATGCTTTGCAAACATTTCACTATGCACAAACATCATCAAGTCTCCTTCTTAAAGCTGCTGTACCTGACTTTCAAACCATAACAATTTTATTGTATTAAAGTGCACGGGTTCCTTGCTCTCAAAACAGTGTTGTTCTTTCACTAGTTTCCACATAAATCTATTTTGGCTCATTGCACGTTTTTAAACAGAAAGGTGTGACACTATTTGACACTTGGTTCTCAGCCAAGTGTCAAGTAGTGACTCACAGGGCTCTCAAAACATGTTTACTCTTACTGTTGGGACAAACACGATGTAATATTTATGAACAAAAACAAGTTTGCTCCCCCAACTTGAATGGATGAAAGTACCGTACCCATAGAGAGGCAAAGGTCACATAATGCGAATAATGTTTTGAAATAGAGCTATATAGCTCTGTGAAAAGAATCTGAAATCTTCTTCCTGTGTCTCCAGGGTAACGTGACCTTCTCGTGCTCTCGGCCTCAGCTCACGGCGTGTTCTTTTGTGAGCTCCAGCAGCAGTTACCTGTCCCTGCCCGCTCCTGCCCCCTCGTCCTCCTCTGCCATGGGGGGGTTCTCTGTGAGGTTCCAGTTCCGCACATGGAACCAGGAGGGCCTTCTGCTGGGGGCCCATCTCAACCCGGACCCCCACCGCCTGGAGCTGAGCATCAGCAACAGCAGACTGGTGCTGAGTCTGCACAGCGCAGGACACAAAGCCCAGGCAACAGCAGGTAGGAAGTGAGCTAAAACTGACAGTGTTATGTGTCATGTGCTGTGACCTATTTTAAAAGCATGTCTAAGTTCAATAAAATATCAAATATCTAGAAAACCTTACTCCAACCATCCCCTGTTGTAACTCCAACAGTACACAGCCATTGTTTTGTTATGTGCTCACTTAATAGCCTCATTCCCACTACCAAAAAATACTGACATTTCAACCAAAACCCCAAAGACGGCCTTTCCTTAGACACTGAGCAACACGGACTGGTTTGTCAAAACAACTCAGCTTTTCTCCCGCCTCACGGCCCTGTCTTTTTTCCAAGGCATGTCCAGTGTTTACACTATAGACTGTAAATATTAACGGACGTAGTCATGCCTAACTTCGCCATTTAAACTTATGTGCCACCACTTTTGGTTTATATGGGTAGTTTCAAAATGGCCGCGGGGGCTAGAAAATGTGAAAAACACATTCGTGCATGTGTCAGCCGGCACGAGCCCCATTCATTTTACGAGTGCCTTCAAAATTCCACAGCAACTCAACTAGACTGGTCCCAAAAAAAAAGGCTCCCCTCAGGATTGACACACATGTGGAGGGCTGTGTTGAGCGAACAGCCGACTTTTGGACCATCAAGTAAAGAGGTTTTTGAAATAAGACGGCATTAGCATTGGCCAATTCTTATTCCAGGTCGACCCCCACTGGCCCGGCGTGGTATTGCAGGCATGTCAGCGCACGTGATATGAACATTTTTGAGCTGGGACCCGCCCCCACTGGTTTACACTGTGCAATTATAATAGCCATAAATTAGCTTGTTGCTTTCATGTGGGTCAGGTGAAAAAGGTTAGAAAACTACACTAAAGTCACATGAGGGACAAAACTTTCCATGATGTTTGTGTGTTGTGTGATTTTTGAACACACAACATAACAATATGTTTGAAAGTGTTTTTGAGTGGATACAAAACTTGCCGTAGTCCAATATAATATGATTTCCTGGGGTGCTGCGTTTACTGGTTTCCTGAGTGACTTTAGAAGACTTATTTTGAAAGGCAGAATTTTGAATGTACACTTTTATTTTGAAATGTTCCTTTCTGTCCCTTTGTGAATAGAAAACACACGTCCAAACAACACGCTAATCCCTCCCATTGGTCGACACAACATTTCTACACATACCAGAAAACAAAGCTTTGTGATACATATGGTTGGAATGAAGAATATTATACTATGCTGCATGCTATCCTGATCTGCTTATGAGAGGGGCAGGCCTAAATAAATTATAAATACACTTTTCATTTAGTAAAGCAATTCATATTGGAATTTAAAATGCACCTATGACTGATTTACGTTTGCATGTTTCTACAATGATGTACATTAAGAATACGTTTGAGATGGCACAAAAAGACTGGCATACATATATTATCATTTTAAACCCTCTGTGATCCATATTTCATTCTGTCTCTCAATCTTTGCCAGCCACCTTTCCTTTATCTATCTGCAATATCTGTGACACAGAGAAAGCACTCGGTAAGGAAAATGTGTCCGACTGACTTTGACGAAAACCTCCACCAAGTCTCAATTACTGCTGTATCGTCTTTTAAAAGGCCTTCTGTCTGCGCCCGGCAATTATCCCTCGCTCAGACGGACTTAGATCATTCTGATGGAGTCTGTGAAGAGATTAGGGGCCACTGTTGGTGTTTTAAATCTGAAATCAAGAGGAAATTTTAGCACTTTGTCAGAGCTGGTTTTGAACAAGAGCGTCTCGAGTTGAGGGGCGTGGGTGGAATATTGCTTTAGGTTTTGTCATTAAAAGTAGATTAGGTGTAGATTAATGGCATGGGTTGTTGAATGAATAATGAAAATAATAGTGGTATTCTCATGAAGACAAGAAATACACACATTGTTCTAAAACCAATGTTGTGTGTGTTAATGACTATGTTGGAACATTTCTGAAAATGTAATTATTGACCAAAAGTCCATTAACTTCTGTACTTTGACTTACATTGGCCAACTAATATTAGACGAACTCATTACAAGTCAAGCCTAAATTGGTTAGAATAATGATAATTATGGCTCACATCTGAAAAACCCATTTGAGAAAAATAGGATTTTGTGAAAAAAGACTGGAAGCCTCAACATTCTGACGTACAAAGGCTTGGCATATGTCACTTTGTTGTTTGGTTCTATATTATGTATTGGTTTCTCATTTCAAGTTATTGAAATAGAAATTACAGGAATAAATGAACCTTTGTACAATATTCTAACATTCAGTGTTTAAAATGTCTAGAAAGGGTGTCGGTACAAACACACTGACTTTCTGTTATTAGGCAAAAAATCTCTTCATCCTGCAAACAACTGAAAAACAGCTGCATAGACTCTTGGTTGTTTTTTAATAGAATAAATAGTTGTCAATAATCTGCTTCTTTCCCCTGGTCAATTACTCCACTTGGTGACCATATTTGCCCTTAAAGCGCCATTGGATTCTGTATGACTAAATATATGTGTATCAACTATACTGTGTGATTGCTCTATCCTGAATAATAATTGTTCACGTACAGTGAACCAATTCATTTACGGCTGCAGTTATATTATTTATTTGATTGACCTGGAAAGTCCTGGCTAAATAAAGGTCAATGAGGAATCCTGGCCCCAGCGAGAGTAGATGTCCACTCCGAAAGGTCCTGTTCCGACTAGGATTCAAACCTATGACTTTCCTGCTGAGAAGCGAGACTGCTAACCACTCTGAAAGTAGCAACATTGTAGTCCTAAGAAATAAACTAATAAGCTAAATACCAGAACAACAAAGTACAAGATGAAAGAAATGAAAGTCATACTGTAGTCACATGTGTATTTATAGCATCCGTTTTAAATTCCATCTTATTTATAATGAAACATATGAAACATTAGCATAAAGCGACATGAGATACATGTACCAGATTCACTTGACTGTAGCTAACAGGATAACATCAGCTGCTGCAGTGAAGCAAAACAGTTACAGTCCTTTATGAGAATTGTCTGAAGCTAAAGCACTCCTTCACTTTATCTTGTGATAATAGTCCATACATGCCTGGTTCTGATTCTGATTTACAAGGCTTTTTCCCTCCTGTGAAAGTGGGCTCCTCCCCCTCAAAAGGACGTTAGACCCGACAACATAAGAGCTAAAAAATCCATGTAGCAAGATACTTCCCTTTAATCCGAGCCTTCAGCAGAGTGATTCTACGGCTCTTATAACACACAGGTTGTCAGAATCCTTCCCACACTGGTGCTTGCCTCAGACTGGTGTTGACAATGGGCTCAGACTGGAACTCGTCTGCAGAGCTGCCATGTCTGACTGCCCCGCCGACACTTGCTGCATTTATGAATACAGATATCACACTATGTCCAAACGACACGCGAACAAACCATCTGCAGAGACCTGACCTGCCTCGCTGTGTTTGTCAGTGTTGGGCGTTGGGGTATAGACACAGAGTTCTGCAATCCCCTGGAGAAGTGTTGCTGTGGCATATCACTGCAGAAAAACAAGTCAATATTAAACAAACTCAGTCAAAGCCACAGCGAGAGAGGACAGTTTTTTGCCTGGTCTAAAACGTCAGAGAGAGTGGGTGATGTCTGATCTGCGCCTTCCCTGTCCAGAATATAACGCAACTATTTGAAACTTCTACACAAAAAAAGTAAATCTCACTAAATTGATCCAAAGTAAGCTTCTCTTACTGAAAACAAACTGCAACAAATAGTATTCAATATTCTTAACTATTCAAAATAATGTTTACATATTTTACTGTAATTTCATATTTTAGAATGTTAAATAATATTAGAATGTGAAAACACAGTATCAAGGGTAAAATAAAAATACTTTCCACCTGTAACTCTGTACCACCAGATGGAGAGTTGAATTTGTTTAGTTGTTTTCTTAAAATCATTGAGATGCAATTACAAGGAATGTCCTTTAATTGGAGAAGTTTCCGGAACTCATTTAAGGGTAATACTTTTGATTTGTAAGTCAGAAGTACTGTTACAGGACTGAGACCGGATATTTTAGACAGAAGAAGTGGTGTTACATGTTTGTGACCTTAAGTTCCTGATATTAGCGTGGATTGATCTTAAAACAACTCCGGGTGTGTTTTTGTGGCGGGAATACTGCTGCATATGTGTTTTGTGTTTGTACTGTGTGATCGAGAGGGGTTGGATTCCAATAAGCATTTGTCCAAACCCTTTTCAAACTGTATTTTTCAAATCAAACTTCTACAGTATATATAGGTTTTGGTTTAATTCAAGGACAACGTGCAGTTACATCAAAAAGATGACTGCACCAGGTTTTGCACCATGCTACTTTCCATCTGTAGTCCTTGACAATACAGTCACATAACTTGCATAAAAATACAGTTCCAACAGTTACCAACATTTTAACAGTCCCAAGTCACAGTGTGCAAGATACAATCTAATTAACATTTAGCAGCAAATGGAGAATGTGCAAATTACTGGTACAAAGTGCAGGACGGTGGTACAGGACATAATATTCAAACAAATAAAGAACAATCTTGTTTTTCTTGTTTGTTTATGTTATGCTGTATGAAAAATATAAGTTTGAAATAGTCTTGAATACTTAGTTACTTAACATGGCTCAAAAAGGCAGATTCTCATGATATGTATCCTTTAAGACCTTCCTCACACTGCAAAGCTCCTCATCCTTCTTACTCCAGCCACTGTTAGTCCGGGCTGGTTCTAATCCGAGGCACCTCCTTAGGCAGCAGACAGTCCGGGACGCTCCTCCGACACTTGAGCGATGTCGTTATACAGACATCGGACACTCAGACTGATGGGACGTCTCCGCGGGGGCTCTGTCCGCCTCTTCCAACCCTTTCGACAGCAGCAGCAGAAGCAGCAGCAGGACGGCCCCCCAGACGCCTCATAAGACAGACTGTTACAGATGAAGCTTCCCCCGGAGGAGATGAAAGCGGACTGAGATGTTGTCGTGCAGCTTCCGGAAGACTAAGTTTGGCAAAATGAGCGGTGAAACATAGTGGACTTATTGTATTCAAAAACGAACAAAAAGAAAAAGATGAGAAGAGAACGTTGATTTCAATTGTAGGTCTACAGGTGTATTATGAGGCAAGGCAAAACAACAAAAATAATACAATCAAAATAGTATGAATACTACTTAAAACTGAGCTGTACTTTTTATGTATTTGATTTTCGATTTTATGTGTACCACCCATAGACTATAATTATTAACGGATGTAGTCACGCCTCTCTCCGCCGTTCAAACTAATGTGCCACAACTTCCGCCGTCTATGGGCAGTTTAAAAATGGCCGCCCGGGCTGGAAAATGTGAAGAAACACATTTGCACATGTGTAGTGACTTCAAAATTTCACTGCGGCTGAACTAGACTGGTCAGAAATAATTCACTCCCCTCAGCATTGACACACATTTGGAACGTAGCTTTGGGCCAAGAGCCGACTTTTGGACCGTTTTTGAGAGGTCAGCTAATGCTATATGTTAGCGTTGAATAAATCTTATTCCGGGTCCACCCCCATTGGCGGACCAGTGGTATTGCAAGCATGTCAGCGCACGTCATTTTGGACATATTTGAGCTGGGACCCGCCCCCACTGGTACCACCATACTTTTTTGTCCATGTCCAAGTGTCCATTTGTACCTGCTTGTATGTGTACTCTGGCTGCTGCACCTTTTGTAACACTGACCTTGTCCTTGTGTCAAAGCTGCACACACATGTACACGCCGTGGCCCTCATCACTCACGGTACATGTAGGCTCCAGTCCATGAGCCCTCTCTCCCAAAAGCTGCCAAGACTGCCCTTGTGCTGCAGACCTGACCCTGTTGGGAATTAGCGCTGTGGTCTGTGGCAAAAATGTGAAGTTCTCAATATCAATTTTGACTCATTTTGATAACCGGCACATGTATTGTATTTGAGAGAAGCCAAACGTGTGACAGAAGCAGTGTGGGGGGCTGGAAAGTTCAGCTCAGTGAAGAAAAAAACAGCTAATTTTTTTATCTCTTCACGTAACATTCACACAGTTTTAATTAATTTGATGACACTGAAATTTCCCCACTGTGGGACGAATAAAGGAATATTTTATCTTATCCTAATACACTGGAACCTGGAACATGAGACAAAATAAGTCACAATACCTTGAATTAGTCTTGATTGTCTATAAACATTTGTAAAATGTCTTATTTTTAAAGGAAAAATCTCACTTGGAATGAGAAATACCTGCTCGGACTAAAAAGCTTGTTCCATTAGCAAGGTTTTTCTGATTAGACAAAAGTGTAAAAATGCTAGTACGGTCTAATTACCACATGTTTGGTGGTAATTAGGTCTTCTCCAAAGACCACAGAGCAGCAGGGGGCGCGGTCAGACTGATGGAAAACAAAACCAAAATGCAGATTTTTTGTTCTTCTAACTCAAACATAAAATATTGATAGACCAGAATGAAAATAAAAATCATAAATTATCCTTTAGTGTCTTGCTCTTTTCCTTTGCCTTTACCTAAAGCACGTCCATCTGCTGCACTTGTATTTGCTCTGGCTCTTCTAAAGCAGTGTTCACTTTCCCGGTTATCAGGTGTGCACAGCTGGCTGCAGACTCCAAATCTGTGTGGCCTCTTTCCATCTGTGTGTGTGTGCGTCTTTACGTGTGTGTGCATGTGTGTGTGTGTGTGCGCCTTTATGTGCATGCATGTGTGCGTGTGTGTGACCTCTCCTTCAATCCTCTCCCACTCCGCTTATAGAGCCATAAAGCCAGAATTTTCAAGTGAATCCCAACTCACCCTATCAAATGGAAGAAAAAACTCGTGAATGTGGCCGGATGTGCGCTGATGAAATATATCCCAATAGTTTTATCAAGCTTTGAAAATTTGCGTTGATTGTTAGTCTTTGGTCAAATAAGGCCGTTCTCTTAAACATTCCAGGAAAAAAGCCAACTTAAATATTAGCCCTATCTTTTTTTTCATAAGCAACAATGGCAGTTTATCCCAATAGGACAGGTCTAGTAAAAGTAAAATATTGTTGACAAAGCAGACCAAAACAGCAGCTTTGCATACTCCTAAGAAAGTTCTTCGTGAATCACTAATTGATGCTTTGGGCTGAGATCTGTTTGGATAGGCCAGACAGACTGTTACAGATGAAGCTTCCCCCGGAGGAGATGAAAGCGTACTGAGATGTTGTCGTGCAGCTTCCGGAGGACTGAGTTTGGCTAAATGAGCGGTGAAATATAGTGCACTTATTGTATTCAAAAACGAATAAAACGAAAAAGATGAGAAGAAAAAGTTGATTTCAATTGTAGGTCTATATGTGTATTATGAGGCAAGGCAAAACAACCAATAGAATACAATAGCAATAGCATGAATACAACTTGAAAGTGAGCTCTACTTTTTATGTATTAGATGAATTCAATTTTCCTTTGCCTTTACCTAAAGTAGAGTTCTTCCATCTGCTGCACTATGCTCTGGCTCTTCTAAAGCAGTGTGCACGTTCCCAGTTATCAGTTGTGCACAGCTGGCTGCAGACTCCAAATCTGTGGGGTTGTCTTCTCTATTTCACTTTTCTTTCTGAAACAGTTGATCTAAAGATATGACAGAGGCTAAAAAAAATTTGCATTGCAACTATGTAGTTACGTGGATTTCATAAAATGTGTCTGGTTTGAAAGTCAGGTTCCCCAGCTTTAACTAATTCACTGTTGGACCTCTGTTATAGCTGCACTTCTGTTGTTACTACTAATCTTTTGTATCTCAAGAACTGAACGTCATTGTTCTGACCTACATTGCTAAATAGTATCAATATTTCAAGCATCGGCCTCATACATTTCTCCAGGATGACGTCTCTGTTCTCATGCACATTGATTCCCGTCATATGAAAAGCTTTCTTCATTAAAGACCTGACAGGTGTTTTTAAAATAAACCTTGCTGTTATTTACACTGCTTGGATATGATTACTATCTAATTTGAAGAGAAGCTCTACTTTTTCAAGAGTCCCGATTTGTTTCTGCGTGTTTGGTTTTTATGCTTTTATATGTATTTTTTACTAAAATCACAGTGTAAGACTGAACTACTCTGTTAACTTGTTGAAGCTGTATGTTGTGTTTCATGGGAAAAAAAGAGCTTTATCTTCTGTTATATCTGGAGGAACTCGAAAATGAACCGGCTAAAAGGTGCATGAGATCGCTGCTTCTGTCTTATTTTTCAACATCACTCATGACAAAAAAACAAGTGGACTGTTAAAGTACTGTCTTTTTCAGTGCTACAGCAGTAATCCTGACGTGGGCAGCTGGGTTGACTTGCAGCTTGTATCTGCGGTGTGTTGCAGGGCACAGGGTGAACGATGGCCTGTGGCACTCCGTCAGCCTGGACAGTAGGAACCTGCAGATCAGCCTGGGCCTGGACTCGGAGCCCCCCTCCACCATCGACCAGTGGGAGCAGCTGCACTCCCGCGGCAGCTTCTACTTCGGAGGTCAGTGCCCTGCCTGGCTCTTTCTTCAACGCACACAAGGGCTGGTCAGGGCCACCATGTTTATTTCCAACATCCCTCAAAAACAGAAATGCAAGAAGGACACATTATGCAGTCTACTTTTTCTTGATTCATAATCCACACTTGTGCTCTTTCCTTCACATAACACTCATTTTGAATTTCTCTGATCTACTAGATGTCTGTCTTTTAAACAAATGTATTGTTCAAATTAGTTGTGAGCATGTCTTACTGACTGCATACATTAATGTCACAGATTTTTAAGAATTACAATTTGGTTTAAAGCCATGGGTCAAATTGGGAGAACAGGAGCGGAGGGTCTAAATACACACGGGGACGCACAGGGGTAACACATCAAGGCGGGGGAACAAACAACAGGACAGACACAACAAGAGCACAAATATATACATCGAAAAAAATAATTAATCTTTAATCATCGCTGACTACCAAGACTATTGGTCCTCCTAATTGTCAATCATTCTGGTGATACATGCTTGTCAAATAAGACCAGAGAGTTTTTGTTCAAAAAGTTGGTTAAATTTGGGAAAATCCTCCTATATAACTTTAATCTTAATGTTTGCCACTCACACAAAGGGACACACAGCACTAAACATGTTTGCATTAGTTTTAGTCATACATGTTTACAAAAGAGATAATAACCTGACTGTGATGGAGTGTGACCAAAACCCTGAAAATCATAATAGCTACAACCCTAAGTTTCTCCCCTTCCTTTAACTAAATACCTCGGGTACACTTGTAGGCCACTGTCCCCAAGGTGCCCCTCCCTTATTGACTCCTGCATTCATGCCGCTGCCCTCATGTGGCCCGTCTGACGAGCTGCGGGAGACAATCAGTCGTGGGGAGAATGTGCGACAATCACAATCAAACTCTCAGCAGGAAGTGGTTTGTCCCTTCACTTAGCCCGCTACGTATTTCTCCTCAAGCCCCCCGTCTGTCTGTTGCCCTCGCTCTGTACCTGCAGGCACAACGGTGGCGCCCCGGACTGCTGCTTTTCAACAGGCACAGATTATACTGATTTCCCATTGCGACCAGGCGGGAATAGTCTGTAGTCTTGGGGATTAAATGATTTGTTTTTCTATACAGTCCATTTTTACCCAAAGACATCATGTACTCTAAGAAATATAAGAAAACAGTTAAAGGAGCTATACCCGTTTCTGCAAGGTTTGAATGTTTAGCACCGCCCCCCAACTCGCTCAGAGGCTTCTCATTTCCTCTACGCTCTCATTCCACGGAGCCATCTAGTTTTATTTGCGATCTGATACATATGCTAACATTAGCATTAGCGCAACTTAAGCTGTACAACAATCACTGATGAAATGGTACATAAGCAACGCACTGCTAACAAAATATATATCTGAAAGATTACCGCTAGACTGTAAGTCTCTCCAGAGGATACGATGTAAGCTAGTTATGTTCACCCGAGATGCAGCACCGTAGAGGCTAGAGGACGCAGCCTCGTTCTGTGAGTGGAGTGAACTCATTAGAAAATAAATCAGCCGCCCCACTGTGGCATCAGGTGTTCCCAGGGGTTAAGTGTCTTGCCAAGGACACAACGACAGCAGACAGTGGGAGTCGATGGTGAAAGTCGGGCTCGAACCCACGACCCTCTGGCTCAGAGGCCAATGCTCTACCAACTGAGCTACTGTCGCCCTTAATGCATAATGCATAACCTGCCTCATAAGTTTCCATAACATTTACTAACAAGAAATGCCAATGTCTATTTCTGACCATGCAAACATAGTGGAGTACTTTTAAGTCTATATACTTCTTGCCTTTTACACTGAGCCTTCTCCCCCCTCTGGCCGTGTCTCCCACAGGATGTCCCGTGTCCGGATGCAGGAACCCCACCATCTCCTTCCAGGGCTGCATGCGCCTCATCTCCATTAACGGTCAGCCAATCAGCCTCCAGCATGTACAGCAAGGCCTTCTGGGAAACTACAACGAGCTGCTCTTCGACACCTGCTCCATCAGGGACAGGTAGCTGCTTTAAGATCATTGTTTCAGCCACTGCTAAAAACTATTTGCAAGTGGATTCTCAAATGTGTTATTGTTGTTTCATTCACATGTTTTGGTTTGTGGAATCTTAAGTGCTGAACAGATTTATTTCAGTTTGTTGTAATATAATTTTTTCATTAGCAAAGGTTGTACACACTTTATGTACCGTATATGCTCCAAACCTGATTCACAATCCCCCCAGATCCAAACAATAAACATACATTTACAAAAAGATAAGAATAAAACAATGTTGCACTCAGCAGGAGATGAAAGCCAGCGCAAAAAAACAAGCCTTTAAAAGTGATTTCTAACCCTCCTCAGTTTTGTAGCAGCCACAGAAAACGCTGTCCCCTCTGGTTCTTAGTCTGGACCTGTGAGAGTCCAAGAGCTGACTCTACTTGGCTTGAGCAAAGTAAGCTTTTTCCGTGAGATATGAAGGTGCTTGGTTGTGAAGATACTTAAAAAACAACAATAACATCTTAAATTGAATTCTAAAAGCCAGTGTGTTTTGCCAAATTAAATTAAAAAGTGTGTTTAACATAAAAACTGGCCCTCCTCAATAAAACAATATCCCAATGTGGTCCCTCGAAGAAAATAATTGCCCACTCCTGATTTAAACCAAGAATTAGGTCTTTTAAAGGTTGTCCAAATGTTGCATGAAATAGGAAGCTGAAAACATGTGAATAGTCGGTTTGTTTGATTTCAATACACGCCTTTATTGCTAATTTGTTGACAGCCTGGGCCTTTTTATTTCCTTTTCTCACATCCTATTGTCTGTCTTCCAGAGCGAGGTGGAAAGGCAATACCAGGCCACCCCATCGCGGTGACAGCCCGCTCCAATTAAAAGTTAGCAGGGAGTATTTTAGCGTGACAAGCCGTGGCTCTCTCATTAGGCATCACCCAGGTTTACTGAGAGCACCTCTGAACGCAGCCACGGCTACAGTGGAGATTCCTGTGGTTTACCCTGGGGCAGCGCGCTTGTCACCACACCGCTGTAGTTAAGGCAGACACAGCATAGACACTGCAGGGACAGACTGCTACAGTTTAAAGCAGATTTGTTTTAAATTCAGATAAAGCTCTACCACACAGAGATCATTGTTTAACATTTGGTTCAGTCTCTGATGTGGTTTTGATGAGACAGTGTCATGCTTCACAGGTGACCACTCTATTGATACACTGACACTACACCCAAAAATGGCAGTGTCAGGTATGAATTTTATGTAAATTTTGATTTTTTCCTTGCTTGATAGATAGTTAGATGATAGATAGATGCTTTATTGATCCCCGTTGGAGACATTCAGGTGATTCTAAAGCTACTCGGACTTGCTACCACCGTGGTTAGAGCATGCGCCGTTGGCACAAGTTAGCAGCAGCGGATTGTCAAAGAAGCGTACTCTTTAATGTTGAATGTAACAATTATTAGCGCAACATGTTTGACCTGGATTCCAAATCATTATTATTTTTGATTAATTGAAGAAATGGTTGGGTTTCGGTGGTAGGTGAAACATTTTCACTACATAGCATAGATGTGCAGGTGACATTCATGATGAGCTTTTCATTGGAATGACCCCTTGTAATTTACACAAGAACGGATTCCTTTTTATTTTGTGTCAATGCAGCGTATCCTCGGCTCTAGTATTTTCCAGTGCAGTATTTTTCTCCCCAAGAGAAAACAACTTGGGTATCCCACATGTGCAGCTGCTGAAAAGTGGATACTGTATAAGAATTCATTTTACAAGGATAGAAGAAAAGAGAAGTAAAGTAAACTATCCCGATTTTGAGACAAGGGGCAGAGGTCGCCTTGCTATCTGTGGAGCTGGTTGATAGTGCGGACCTAAAGTCACCTCTGTCTTCTGTGTTCTACAAAACAAAAACATCTTCATCCAGGAGGCTGTGCTGTTTGTAGACAAATCCATATATGTTTTATTTGTAGCTCGTAGTGTGAATTATTTGTCTTATGGCATCTAAAGCAAGTAAAAACAAGACATTTCAATCCATTTACATTTATATGCATTGTTTTTTACATTTGAATGGGTACTTACACATGTTGAGAACAACACAAAAGTCCAAAAAGTTATAGAAGTTAACTGAAAACAGCAACAATATAATGGCCAATGCACAGGCGAGTGTAGAGAGAGTGTGTAGTGTAAATGAACGCTTTTGAAAGTACACACTACTACTGCACTGTTTCGTATACAAGACGTTATGCCGACCGCTAAGTGAAAATTGAGTGAAGCCTCAAATCAAAGCAAATAACTTTTGGTAAACGAGAAGTCAGGTAACATAAAGGTTTTGAATACAAAGTAGAAAAAGAGATTTTAAGTAAATAAAACATGAAACATATATTCTTTGAAATATTTTATGAATTGTTTGTGTTCCCGAGAGATTATTTGGTCGATAAAGGGGGACACAGCGCTCTACAGTGGGAAGCACTGCTCTCGCCAATTACCATAATGCAATGGCAACCGGTTTCACAATTTTTGCTGGTCTATTCAAGATAAATAGACAGAAAGAAGACAATATAGATACAAAAATATTAGAAAAAAAGTTGTATTTTTAATAGGAATGCACCAATACCACTTTTTTCAAAACAGATACGATTTGAGTACTTGCCGATACCGAATACCGATATGAGTACTGCATTGTGTTATCCCTGGAAAATTAATCAAAATGTTTTATTTCTCATTTCAACAGTAAGAAAACGCTTTAACAATTAAACATTTCAGCAATTCTTTCAACAATAAGAGCCACTGTAATATTCCACTCATACAAATAGCCCCGGTGCTAGCAAAGGTTACCCTGCGTGTTGGTGAGTTTGATCAAGTTGCTGGTGTTATATGTGTTTGTTTTGGACCCACCTCGTGACAGTTTTGCTTGAAAAAATGTATAGGTATTGGTGCATCCCTATTTTTTTATAATAACAGTCAAATTAAAGAACATTCCGGGACTTACCTTGTGAGGATAGTAGTGGTGATGATCCCGGAAACTCAACATTCAACAACATTTATGGCCTTTGATCAACCTTATGGACCAATACCAATGTGTTTTCTGTTTTATATCTTGTATTTGAACTGTTTGATTCTCTAATCTGTGTTGGCGAATTCAACGGTTGTGTGAAGTCCTCCGAAATAGCTAGTGTTGTGATCTAGGGCTCTACAAGAATAAATTCAATTGAAATAGAATTTAGTTTTTAGAGAGGATGGTAGTAGTGTAAGGGGTTATTGAATTGTCTGTGGTCCATGATAAGAGCCAGAGCAGACCTGATTGAACATGTCTGAATGCGTTTTAAAGTGAGCCGCAGCTCATATAGATCAGCTGGATGTCGGAAGGTGCAGGGCCAAATGGAGAGCAGGGTAAAGGTGCCAGACTGTGACATATGCGACATCTCACCTGATGAAGGAGAGCATGACGCAAGTGTCCGTAATGTACTTCACAGTAAGAAGCTGAGACACGTCGTCGGATGAAGCCAATTCAACCGCTTTGTCTGAACAATGTATGGAAGTATGAAAGTCAAGAGGACTATGTGAGAATAAAAACCATCACATAATAATGATAAATGCAAAAACTCATTTGAAACTTTTTGTGAATATGAATACCACACAAGAAATACATTATAGTACATTGATACCTTGATCTGTCTACAACATTGGAACATTTCAGCTTCACAGGACTACTTATGCTGCTTATATAACTTAAAGAAAGCCTGTACTACAACAACCAAAACCTACAATTGTCTGTTGATTTTTATGATGACTATGAAGAGTATTTTATAACACTGGCAACCGTAAATAAAATACATGTGGTAATTATATACTTGATTGTTGCCGATTGTTGGAGCAATGCCATCATGCAAACAGGAGCGTACAGTATTCACTGCTCAATCCAATTGAAGGGAAAGATTTCTTATATAGCACATTTCAAACACAAGTTAACTCAAAGTGCTTTGCAAATCAAGTTAGGAAAAATTTAAACTGTACAAGTAAACCTAAAAACTGTACACAGATAAAACACAAATAAATCAAAATGACATTAGATTGCTTTGGATGACCTTAGTCTGTAAAACTATACTTACATACTTTTAATGAAACTAGTGTAAAACTAATATTGTGTCATCGATTTGAATGGGAGCCGTCAACAGACTGTACGAATCTTCTCTGGGAGTCTGGGTATTACATATTTGAAAGTCAACCCTAACCCCTAAGTTTTGTGATGAATATGATCATTAGCGCCTTTAACATAAGCTACTTTGAAAATACTCTCCATAACCCTGTCATGTGACCCCCCCTCCCTTAATGGTTCCACTGTCCCCATGTTGACGTCAGTTCTGTCGCACTTAGTTCAGGCCCATTAACGCTTCAGAAAGACAAAGCTTCCCTCCCTCGCCTCTGCGTCCTCTTCACCTCTACCCCCAGACCTCTCCCGTTCATTAAAACCCAGCGCGAAACCCCATCCCGACCGCAAACGCTACTGCAATTAATGGCCGCCACGCAGAGTGTATGAAATTATAGCCGGCCGCTCCGATGAATGGTAATTAAGTGAAAGAGGAGCAGGCAGAGGAAGGGACGATTCATCAACGCTGCGCTGATGAGGGGAGTTAAACTAGGGGGTCGGTAGTGACATTCGAGCTGGTTATTGTAGCTTTTCTAAGTTGCAGGAAGTTGGAATGGAGGACGGAGTAAGGCTAGAAATTCAATAGTTTAGCCTTGATGCATGTGACGAGTCAGACCAGAGGTAAGTATCCCCCGCCCCCAGAGCCACTTTTGAATCTTATTGTGTTCAAATGCCAAACACATTACAGACACTGTGTAAGCACTAATGGTCCGAAGCGTTTTTCACTTAGATGACCAAGTCAACCTAAACAACAAGACAAAAAGACAAAAGAATTTAAGTCTATCAGATGTATTTGAATAGACAATGGTACAACGGTTGAATTGCAATGAGCAGACTACAATCAAAATCCTAATTATGCAGACAAATAAAGTAGGAAGGAGGAGAGGATAGTGCTCCAGGGACCACACTATAATATTGCTTGATGTTCACTGCTGTTCACCAAAAGTCTGCTTATACTGGATGTAAATATCCAGTATAAGCACATATTGGAGAAAAGGCAAAGGCTGTGTACATTTTACTCCCTGATACTTTATTAATATCCTGTAGGAGAAATTCAGGTGTCCAGCAGCAGAAAACACATCCATACATCAATTATTAACATTTTTAACTAACATGTCTAACTAATTACAAAACCATAGTGCATTTTTTAAAGTCATACAGGTCTCTTGTACGGTCTGACAGCCAAAAGAACAAAGGATTTCTTAAAACGTTCTGTTCAGCAGCGCAGTGATATAAGCCTGGGTTAGGGTTAGCTACGATTACCCCTCTGAGCGGCCATAGTGTCATGCTATACAATGCTCATATTAGCACGATGCGTTTATGCAGTAATAATATATTTGTGGAATCCATCCATCCATCCATTTTCTTCCCTTTAATCCATTTCTGGGTCAGGGGGGTGGCAATCAGAGCTGCCACCCAAGTCTCATAGCACCAGCCCCTCACTGACCCTCTGCAGGTGGTGAGTCCACAGGAGGACGGCTGCTCTCTGAGTGAGAGCATAGCCTTGATCTTTCAGTGGGGGCTTTGGGCAAAGTGGGGTTAAGTGTCTTGCCCAAGGACACAACGACAGCAGTCATCAGTGGGAGTCGGTGGAGAAGGTGCAGAGGTGGGAATTGAACCCACGACCTTCTGGCCTTAAGGCCAATGCTCTACCAACTGAGCTACTGTCGCCCCTATATTTGTGGAATCATGTTTTGAATCTTTGATTATTGTATGTATTTACACTATGAAAGAATTGACAAAAAGAAGACCTGTTTTATTGTTGATGGTGGAGATGAGACACGAACAAAGATTTTACAGAATGCAAGTGATATTATAGGATAGACCGATATAGACCAATCAGCATTTCCCACGATGCCAGTAGCTTGGCTTTCAGATAACAAAATTATTCAAGTGGAAAAAACACTGCCTTGTGCATTGTTAGAATGATGAGTTTAACTTTAATCACAGTTACTTCAAAATTGTGTACATAGTAGATATTAGGATAATAAACTTGCCAATAAATATATCTGTCAATATCTGAAATTGGTGCCTGTCTTATTATACACGCAATGTCATGCAATCAAATGACTTAATTTTTCAGCGACGAATGAGCTCATTTGTCATCTAACATGTACGTAACCATCATACACAGTTATCAGAGCTTTTGAGCAGAGCAGTAACAACAGAGCGTTCCCGTAGTATTTCCACAATTTATAGAGACTTGTATCATGTTTTTCTCAAGAATGATTTCTCCAACCTCCTCAAGTCCGCACTGAAGGCTGTGAAGTCCACTTGAGGTTGTACAGCGGCAGGAATTCAATCATATGTGTTCTCCATCGAGTCTTAGAGATGTTTGTAATCAATGTTGGGTACTTCAGAGCACGGCTGTTCATTCAAATCCAATTTCAACTTTGTGCTGCGTGTAATTTTACCACGCTAGCTAGCCTTGTGATACGTCTTTATCTATAAACAGCTTCCAAACTTTTCTTTGCGACGCATTCAAAATGTTTTTCCTTACAAATGCTCATCTGCAAGCTTCAACTCTGTCAACCCCAGAAGCCTCTCATCACAAAAAACATGTTTGTGACAGACAGCTTTTCATGTCACCTTAATGGAACAAAAAATCACATTCCATCATCAACGCATTAGCAGCTCTGTGCCGGCGGCAAATCAAAGCTTAAACATTACATACTCGACTCAAAAGATACTTGTGATAGTCAACATGTCGCTGCGACCTTTCCAGACCTTTATTCGCAGACGTGTCAGAAAATATAAAAATAATGAAACAAATCAATGGAAGTCTCAGTTTCTTAAAGAGATGCCATGGCGGCGCGATCAAAGCAGCGCAGACGATTGACAAACAGCTCAGAGCGCCGCTTTTTGACTGACAGGAAATCCGAGCGCACCCGGGAAAGAGACAGGCTTCTTATAGGCTTTGCTTCAGATCTCAGCCAATGCCACAAAATCTCTGCTTTGGGTTAGTTTTACAATCTGACTTGTATTCGTTTCAACTTTCTGTTTGAAAAGTTCATAAAGATTTTTTTTAAAGTAGACATAAGGCATTTCTGTCCGCTATACATGAACATCTATGACACTCCTGGATTTGTATCATATGTTTAGTATCTTTGAAATTCGGACCGCAGAACTAATTTTGTTTATTATTATTTTTTGATCGGCTAATCATCTACATATCAGATTCAGAAAAAAAAGTGTAGATAAAAACAATGAGAGGTGAGGCAGGTGATCAATGGCACATACGGGCGGCAGTTAGTACCTGAATCCTGCGTTGGATCCTCAGCTTGCATGTTCTTCCTGTGTCGGCCTAGGTTTTTTAGGTGCTCTTTTGGGTTTGTGATGGAAAATTTATGTCATCACTGTGTGTGGAGTGAATGGAAATTACACCAAATTTTAAACCGTTCTGTGTGACCCTGGTCTGTGAGTTACTCTGTAGAATATAAGGACGACTTACTATATTGTGTACACAGCGGTCCTTCACGATGATTTTAACAGCGTGCGTCTCATTGTTGTGTAGACCTCAACAACATCATATAACCGCTAGTAAAACACGACAGTTACTATTTAAAGTCAGATGAAAAATTGATGAGTGATTAGTTTAGAGGACAATCGTGGTCTTCCCATGGCCCTCAGTCCTGCTGCTTTTGACAGCTGCAGCAGCACTCAGACCCCTAACCAACAGGTTTGATACCTCTGCAATCAGGGTTTTACAGCCATTAAACATAAAGCTACTACTTCTCGGATTTTGCTTATTGCATGACCCCTGTAATACAAAAGAAATGACTCACACACGCATGCGAGTGTGTAAATGAGAAAACAATTAAGTGGAAAACGATTGAATAGATAAAATTCACGTTATGTCCCCATAAGAATCTCTAAAGGTCTTCAACACAATCACACATTTTTAAGTTAAATGGGAATTAACGTCTATCGCGTTTTTGTTTGTTTAATGTGATTACACGTATAAAATCAACAATGTTATGGCCCCGTACCTCTCTTCCCCATGCTTTAGTTACGTCCAATACCCCATCCAGATTATATAATGGATCCATTGTTACGTCTAGTTCAATGTTTACATACCTCCTATCCCCGCCCACTCTTCAGTTCTTCCTTGTTCAGATTACAAACTTTCAAATTGAAGATTAAGGGTGTATTCAGACCTGCACATTTGCTCCACTTTAAACGGACCAGGATTCGTTTGGAACTCTGATTTTTATGCAGGTCTGAATACACACAAACAAATCCTGGTCCGGACCAAAGAACCGAACCGAGACCCACTTTTTTAGGTGGTCTCGGCCCGCTTCCAATAGAATTCTGGTCCGACTCAATTCCGGTCTGAATACATCCGGTGTCGATCCGACACAACTCCAAGATACGTGCGCATTTTTTGGGCTTAACAAGCCGTAGACAGAAACTGTGAGGAATTAGCCACGCGTCACAGCTGCTAACGCATGCTACACAACAACAATGAGCCGTGTGCAGACCTGGAGCAGTGAGGAGACGCTGTGCAACAGGCTTATGGAGTTAAAACTTTTCAAAGCATACAGTGATGTTAATTGCAGCATCTTCAAATCATTTGCATTATTAAGCCTCACGTGTTTGACTCACGTCTCAAAAAGCAATATCCCGTATCATGTAGTGAATTGTGTTCTTTGGTTCATACCTGATCCTCCGTCGTCTGTTTATTGCGTTGTTATTATACTGTAGATCCATGGTTTATCCACAATGCTGCTGTCAGTAAGTTGTGGGACAGGGCCGTTATCATAGATCCATGTGTGGGACAGGGCACGGAGCGCACAGACAGAGTCTCCTTCGGCTTTCTCCTCACGCATTCGTCGACGCTGTTCCAATATTTAAAACAACGCGTTTCGCAAGTGTTTAATGAGCTGCTGCTGTTGATGTTGAAGGTGGTTTTGCTCTAAAAAAGAGCAAACATAGGCAGAGCAGATATACAGCACATACGAGCTCAATGTTTTCCTCCGGTTCCGTGTCCAATCTCCGTGAGCTCTCGCTGTCCAATAGGAGCGCCGATCGTCACACGCATCGATATGTTTGTATAAAAAAGTTCACTTGCGAACCGGAGCAAAAGAAAAAAAAGTTTGGTCCGCTTTTGATTTGCAGCAAGCAAGCGGACCAAATGACTTTTCTGGTCTGAATACACCCTAAGATTAAGAGAACCTTTATTCGTCCCACAGTGGGGAATTTTCAGTATTGCATCACAAGTTATAGAACAGTAGGAAAGAGGAGCACACAGCACAAGATAAGTGAACAAGAGCTATACTAATACTATACTAATAATGATAGTTTAAAAGTAGTTTTATAAAAGTTTTATAAGAAACACAAAATAACTGAACATAAAGGAACTGCAATATAAATAATATACACCATTTAAGCCCTGTAAAGTGTGAAAGAAGGTGATTTACCAGAGGAGTAAGAAAATCAAACCTCTTTTTCATCACACAATATTTACCTGCAGAGAAATCTTTGACTCATGCTTAATCCTCCAGCAAGCCTAATACAATTTATTCTCTATTTCCTTGTCTCTCTTGTGTTTGATTTCAGATGCCTTCCCAACCTGTGTGAGCACAAAGGCCGCTGTCTGCAGACCTGGGGCTCCTTCTCATGCGACTGCTCGGGGACAGGATACTCTGGCGCCACCTGTCACAACTGTGAGTACTGCAGCTTTACACACACCAGCAGCCTTTAGATGCTGAGCACGCACACGGGCGCTGATTGTGCAGGGAGCGGAGAAGGCGAGCTCTCAGACGGTGAAAGGAGGCGGACGAGAGCAGCCGATACACTCTTCTCATGTGTACAGAAATCACATGTGCTTTGTATGCTCAACAAGCACTCCAACATGGAGTCGGGTACTACTGGATATGTGCAGGCTGAGGTCACAGTTTGAATCACTACTTCCTCTGTTTATTATTTATCTATTAACAGAAGCTATTAACAACAAGAGCAAGTTTCAGTACAAAAAAGATTTTACACGTATTTGGTATAACCCTATTAAAGCTTCTTTATTATGCTAAGTTTGAGGGTTTTTTTACAGTATGTGCCGTCCGCCCTTCCAACCACCAATACAACACAATACAATACAATTTATTCTTGTATAGCGCTATATCAAAATAGCAGTCATCTCAGGGGACTTAACAAAACCATTGAAATCACCAACACAGATCAGAAAATCAACAGTTAAGACACAGAATATACACATGTGTTTTGGTCCATGAGGAGACCAATGTCCATGAATGTTGATAAATGTCCATACAGTACATGTTGTAGAATACCAGCAACTATTCACACCAGACTCATTCTAGGCAATGTGGGTGAAGTGTTTTGCCTAAGGACACAACAGTTTGGCACTTTTACAGCCAAACTGTAAAAGTGCCAAAGTGCCACTGTGGCACCTGGTGTTCCCAAACGTCTCCCATCACACTACCAACCAGGCCCTGTCCTGCCTAGCTTCCCAGGTGTGACAAAATTCTACATAAACGCTCAGTGGTGAAGTGAAATGAGAAGGAAAAGGCCATTATCACGATTTAAAGCTTGCATACCAGGGGTCTCCAACCTGTAGCTCGGGAACTACCAGTAGCTCGTCAGCCCCGTTTCTTTAAAATGTATTTCATTTAACACATGATCCTGAATGATTACATTTTGAGTTATTACATATCTATTTTAAATGTGGGTTTAAACAGTATTAAGGTATATTGTACATGTGTGTTGTTATGTTTTGCCATAGTTATTTTATAGGCTTTTATTGTGGCTGCAAAAAGGAGTAGCTCTCTGCCTCTTCTGTTGTATAAAAGTAGATGATTTAAAAATGCTGGAGACCCCTGTTGTATACAATAAAGAGTGTGAGCCACAGCGCAGAGACACACAGGAGACAGCGACTGCACTTTTAAAGACGCCGCAGTCAAAGTCCTCTCTGTAAACAAACACAAGCTTTTCCCGTGTGATCCGCGGCGCTCTGTGATTTCTGTCTCCCGCTTCTATTTCTACTGCACTCCGCTTTTCACTTCAGCCCGGCCCTACACGCACGAGCCTCCTCCAGCACCGCAGCTGCAATACAAGACAGGTGCGCGTGAAATACTCTTTTTGTGCACGACCCCAGTGACAAAGGACTTGTGTTCACGGCCAGGTTCAAGGAGAGTGCGCACACCCGCACAGGGGGAAAAGCAATCTTGTGTAGGTAACAAGAGGAAAGTGTTGGATTGTAGAAAGCTTGTGGGGTTCAAATAGGATGTATTCAATGGAGGATTTCAGGAATTCATTCAGAGAAAATGAACTCTAACGTTTTCCTATTAGTCATGTGTTTCATAGGCACAGCGTTAGTCTAACATGTATAAATGTTTTCACAGCTCAAATAGTCAGTGGCACTTCTTAACTAGTATGCATAGAATAAATGTTTTTCAACAAGGCTAAAGGCTAAAGCAAACAATTAATACTAAAACTATACTCAGCAAAAACACAGATCTTTCTCCCCAAAAATCCTAGTTCCTACCCAGCGAGCAACCCAGGCTGGCGTGTCCCAAAGTCTCGCCATTGCTGCTCATTCATCGGATAATGGATGCAAATTAGTCCAAGGAACAATCCGAAGAGGTTATTCGTTAAGAGGCACTGTCCCAAACAAATGAACAGTTAATGAACTGATGGGAGCTTTGGGGACTGATGATTTATGAACTGTTTGTTTTACCCGTGTTATATGAAAACAGGTTTAACAATACCAGTATGCAATGAATGACATGTTTTCTATCAATAAGATTATCTGTAGATGATGTCAATCTTGCCCATTATCACAAAAATATGAAAAAAAATTAAAAAAAATATTTATCAAAAAAATCTATTATTTTTAGCACACCTCTAATGAGCACTGTTATTTATGGTATCCTATTAATAATAATAATGCATCTGTTTTATATAGCACTTTTTTGGACACTCAAAGATGCTAGTCATTATTCGATTACTACTGTAGCCACAGCTGCCCTGGGGCGCGACAGAAGCAAGGAAACCTGTGCCATTGCCCCTACAACCACCACCAAACATTCACGCACACAACAGACTCATTCTAGGCAATGGGGACGAAGTGTCTTGCCTAAGGACACAACAGCAGTTTGGCACTTTACAGCCACTGCCGCCCCACTGTGGCACATGATGTTCCCAGAGGTGAAGTGTCTTGGAGTCGGTGGAGAAAGTCTTGTGCTGGGCTCGACCTCATGACCTTCAGGCTCAAAGACCATTGCTCTACCAACTGAGCCACTATTACTGAATGTTTTTTTTATTGGTACTAAAATACACACAAAAACTTGATGTCATCTTTATGTTTAAGGCTTAGACGGTTCTTTTGTCTAATTAAAGCCACATTCTAAGCCTTTTAATTAAAATACACACGAGATCCAAAAGTTCTGCACAAACACCAGTTCTGCCTTTATTCAGTTAGTGTAGGTAGTGATAATTTTATACTACAGTATTTTCTGCCTGATCACAAACAATTACTCACCACTCCTGCTTGACAAAAGTCAAAATTTAAACTTACCTCTCTATCTCTGTGCGCTCTGCTGGTAATCGCTTCCTTTTGCTGTAGCTAACTTGCTCTGAACATGTTACTAGTTAGAGTATTTAAAGACGTCTTGTGTAGTACAAAAGATCTGTCCTATGTGTAAATGTGTAAATGATTCATGTTCTGCCTACAGCTATTTACGAGTCGTCTTGTGAGGCGTACAAACTGATGGGCAGCTCTTCAGGATTCTACTCCATAGACCCCGACGGAAGCGGACCCCTGGGGCCCACACAGGTCCACTGCAACATGACAGGTGAGCGAACGAGAGAGAGCGGTTTGCATTTGAAGCACTTTTCAACACGGTCCCTCCATCAAAAACAGACCTCAACTGGATTTATTTCTGTATCCATGTGATTTTTGAGGACATACTTCTCCATTGTGACCTCTGACCAATGCTCTGAACTGTAAAGATCATTTTGACCTTTTGAAATGTATTCATCATCTCTGGATTGGTTTCTAGGCACTAATTTCTCTCATCAAATTGCATAACAAATTAGGCCTAACATTGAGAAGCAATATTGTTAACAGAATCCCAGAGCTGATAGTCTTAAACTTTGCTTTTAACAATTAAATTCTGTATGTTTTGTATAGCCCTAAATTACAACATAGAGCCATTGGTCCATAAGGGGCGGGTGACCCATGTCCATGAATGTAAATGTCTCTGTATTCAAATGATACACAGGCATACATGCTGAACAGGACAAGGTTTGATTAGGAAACAAATGATTTCACCAGCCGATTATGGTACGGATTTTTTTAAGATTCTGCTTCAAAGGACTGAGTGGAATACCCCTGTCCTATATTATGGTGTATTTAACATTTAACTTTTAATCTCACACCAGAAGGATACACAGAATATTAAACTGGATATCATTTAAATCCAGTTAAATGGCCCTGAACAATCACACTGATGCCATTGAAGAATAACCTGATTGGATCTGATTGGAAATCAACACGACTTGAGCGCTCAATAATATAAAGAAGTGTGACAGAAGCACATTTATGTGCAACAAAACAAAAGCAAACATACAGGCTGATTTCCCCATGGATTCCACAGGTGCATTATGGGAGTTTGGGTCAATTGTGTGGAGTGAAAAAAATGACAAAGTAAATGGACAGTTCAGTCTAGTTTCAGACTGCATCAGGGGCTGTATCGATCAGCAGCACTGTCCATGTCCAGGAGAAATCATTAGAGTGGACTACAACATACACGGACACACACACCTACAAGCATTCACACACACACACCTATGCACACACACGCCCATGTACACACACAGACACACCTACTCGTACACGCACACACACACACACGCGCAGACACACACACACACACACACACACACACACAAGTCCCCTCTGACAGGTGACTGAGCTGAGACGCTGTACAATAAAACACGTAGAGCTTGGTGTTAAACTAGAACAGGCCGTGACCAGAGACTGACGTAGAGGACCTTTGAAAATCCTTCTTTAGTTAAACACTTCCGGCAAGTTTTAAGCCTCATCTGCAAAAACATGGGAATTTCATTTTAAAAACACCCTTTCCCTACACACTGAGTGACAGGCGCTGGCGTGTCTAAATCACTGTTTATCAGCCTGCTGCTGACATGTGGGTGTAGAAACAACCTGTACACACAAGACACTCAAGGGAGAATACTTTGCCATATAATGTTCAAAAGCTGTCCTTGTTAAAAAGTTGTTTGAACATATCGCTCCACGAGGTTAATAAACTTGCAGTAATCCGTTAGAATGGGATTTCCTGGGGTTTGTGACTTTAGAAGACTTGTTTTGAATGTCGAAAGTTTGCTTTAAACCTGTTCCTGTCTTTCACATTGTAAAAAGCCAACGCGGATCCAAACAACACACTAACCTCTCACACTGTTGTCCTGTATCCATGTAGCAAACATGGGGGCGCAGTGGGACAAAGCCTTTAAGGTCTTTTTGCCTTTTCCATCTGAAAGAAATCTCCCCAAAAGCTCATTATGGGAAATGTTTATCTTGCATAATCAAAACCTTTTGATTGTGCAGGAATAAAGTACTTGCTTAAAACTGTATATTCTTCGTATTCAAGGTTGCATTATATTATCCATGGATAGTCATTTATACTTGAAAATAACTGAATATTGGTTATTGTAGGATTCAGATTCATTGTATTTGCCATTTGCTGTAAAACTACATTAGATTAATTTGCAAAAGTCTCCAGTGTGCATCAGACGCAGTACATAGGATATGTGTAATTGAATGTATGATTGCTCTGAACCACAGCATAATGCAAATACATACATTAAAACTAGTCCAGTTTAATGATGACGTGATATTGTTCTATAAATATAATAATAGTAAAGTTATAGCCTAGTAACGTAATGCTTATACAAACCAACAGATATGTGTATGGCAATATCACCCCGGCTTTTGGAAAAATTACTATGAATACATTTGAATAGAATATTTCAAGAATTCAATTTCGCTACAAGACCTTTCTTTACCCTCTGTCTAATAATAAAGCACATGTTAATATTTAGAATACACAATGTGAGAAAATGAGCAGTGGCCTCGTGCGCTCCTCTAATCCCATCATTTAGCTCCCACCAGGCCGACCTCAATTAAAGCACTCATTACAAGTAAATAACTATAGTGCCAGGATTTTCTCTGAGCCTTTCAAGTGAATAATGTGCCTTCTGTAGTAAGAGTCTGCGGCAAAGCCACAGTGTATGGGGTAAATAAACAGTATGTACAGGACAATTTAAAGCACCGGCTTATGCAAAACTGACCTTTTCTCATTTTGAGTGTGTGAAGCCTCCAGCGGCCCGTGCAGTTACACTAGCTGTGTGCTGTTTGTGACAAGGCAGGAAAACTATCCAATTTAATATGATTGTGCAAGACGCGTGTAAACCCATGCACTGCGATTGAGGTGAGAAAAACCAGTTCAGTTTGCATAACCAGTTCCTTTTCAAAACTTGTGACATGCATTTGATAATTGATATTCGTACCTTGTGTTGTGCAGGTTTTTAAATAGAGAGATAACTAACTAGCTAAATAACCAGATCGAACCATTTCCCTGTGTACACGTACACCCGATCCTGAGACAAGACCAGCAGATGCATTTAAGCCACATTAGAAACATAGGTGACTCACTCATTTCGACTGTTTTTATTTACAACAGTTACAAGATTGAGTAATAAAGGCAAATAACAAGATGCCTTTGGAAGCGTCACGAGGCTCCATTAGATCAGGGGGGCATATGTAGACTGGTGCCAGAGTGGTCTGACCAGTTTGGGAACAACAAATAGTAGTACGTAGCATATTCTGCTCTTCTTAGACTTTCTAAACGTCTCCAATCCTCCAGTTTAGCAGCTTTATTTGAAATGTAATTATAGGCACCTGGTTTAGCACCTGGATTGATAAATATTCTCCCAAGGACACTGGCTACACATGATGACTTTAATAACATAAGCCCTTAATAAACATGCACTTCTACCTGAGCTCTGGTGTGTCTCTTTTGTTGTGTAACGTTTACACACGTCAGGTGCGCACGAGGGGAGGAAATTTCAGGGTTTCTAATGTTGCATGTGTGAAGAAATATTTCTTTGTTCTCTGTGTGTTTTTTTGTCGACATTCAATGTTGTTCTATTGTTCAATCAAATGTGCATCGTATATCTCCTCCTCCTTCACTTGTGAAAAAGTCTAGATCTACATAATGAATATTGATGGATTTACTTGGAAAACATGGTCTAACGTTCAAGCTGGATTAGGTTTAATCTTCTTGATTATACAAAATTGATTCATTTATTTAATGTTTAAGACCTGGATTTACACTAATCATGTTGTTTACATGTGTGGCGCCCGTTTGAAGCTATATATGCTAAGCAGGAAAATGCCATGTTGGAGCTAATTTCTGCAAACATGTCATTCTTTTTTGAATGTTATAATTAGGCTTAACTGAGTGCTTACTGAATTCTACACACACCAGAGCAGATTTGTTTGGACTATTTTGAGCAGTGCTTGATTTAAGAAACTTTTGCTTTTTAGTTTGTTTACAGGGCAAGATAGTGCATGTGAATATGATGAGGGTAATACCAATTTGAAAATTGAGGACTAGCGGTAAACTAGAATGTGCCCTCAGAGAGCATACCACGCCAACACCGGTGATTGTCTTGAACAATGTGGTTTTCTTTCTTATGTGTGTTGTTCCCCACAAGAGAAATATCTGTAAAAGTAAATATTATATAATGAAATATTATGCTGGTATGTACGCCTGGCAAACTGGCTCTTTGAACATTGGGCTGATATAAGGCACATGCTTAGGTCAGGCTCAAGGCCAGACTCTGCTTCTTTTACAAAGAGCCCGAGCTTCTGACGGCACTTTACAAAGAGTCAACCTTGATCAGTTGTTTTTGCCCCAAAGTCAAAGTCACTTGATTTGAATAATGCATCGGTTTTATATAGCGCTTTTTTGTACATTCAAAGATGCTTCATATGTCTTTTTTTTTTTTATTACATACGAAGTGGTGATAAACTACAGCTGCCCTGGGGCAAACTGACAAAAGCGAGGCAACCATTCACAGCCGCAGCCGCCCCACTGTGGCACCTGGTGTTACCAGAGGTCTCCCGTCACAGTACTTACCAGGCCCTGCACTGCTTCAGAGGTCTGACGGGGCTTTTGCATGCAACTATGGCCACGCAATTTTTGAGCATCCGCATCTATAACGAGTCCCCATTTGATACTTTTTAATTCATATTTTTGAGGGGAGGTTGCAGCTCGCAAAAAGTGTAGGAGCAGCAGAGGCGCAATGCTTCCCCGTCGGTGAGAGATGTCCATACTGTCAATGTTGAGCTGCCAGGAGACATTCCCCACCCATGTTCATGTCACCACACATGTTGTCCCCACCCAGAAAGGAAAACATTTTGTGTGTGAGAATGTGGATACATGAGAGTTGTGAGTCTGTCTCAGAGGAACAGGGCTTTAAGATACATGGTTCAATCTAACAATTATAAAATTGTTGCTATTTGTTTGAATTTTTTTTTTTTGGGTGTTGGAATTCCTATTGACACCAGTGGATGTGTCATTGTTTTGGAACAATGGTTTGTCCCATTGCTGTTTTTCATAAGAATGCTCAGTTTGCTGTATACGTTTGTATTTCAACAATCATTTACGCAATGTGATGGAAGGGCAGTGATTGACGTGTGTGTTTGTGTGTGTGTTTGCAGAAGAGCGCGTCTGGACTGTGCTCAGTCACAACAGCACAGAGGCAGTGAGGGTGCAGGGATCCTCTGTGCTACAGCCTCACATCATGGACCTCAACTACAGTGCCTCCTCCGACCAGCTGAGGGCGATAGTGGCTGGCTCAGAGCACTGCCAACAGGAGGTGGTCTACAGCTGCAGGAAGTCCCGCCTCTTCAACACCAAAGGTTAGTGGCTGGGTGTGGACACCAAAGATTTTAGCCCTGAGTCTATGGTCAACAAGTCAAGTGCTGCAAAATATATTATACACAATACGATTTAACTGTTCGCAACGTCAACGGGTGATGGAGACCAGGCAGGTCCGGAGGCGCAATGACACACTGCCCAATACCTAAACAGCTTCGAGAGGAGAGGGAGGAAAAACAAACCTCAGAGCAGGTGCATACCAGAAACTGCAAAGTTTGTCAAGTAAAATTGGTCATAAAATAAACTTTTGCAGAAGCCCTTGCACTTAAGGAGAATTCCGTTTTCATTCCTCGCATTACACTGTGAAGCATAAGCACGCAGTCTGCAGATCAATGAGATTGATCTTTGGTAGGGGATCTATTGCATTGGGTTCCCAAACCGTTTTGAGCGGTGGCACACCGTTTTAATTCAAAACAATCACATGGCACACCACCGGATGTGTGAGAGCCATAATCTGGGGAGGTGCGTGCGTCATGTGAGCTCTTTTCAATATGGCAGACACCGGAATTCAGGTGAGAAGTCGAGGAGATCTTGGTAGCCATTGTTTTTTAGTGTTATTAGTACATGTTTGCATATGACCAATGTGTGTGTGTCCCTATGTAAACTGTTGTTGAAGGTACATGAAGGTACGGGACCTGTTCCCCTCCTCTAGTTCAGCAGCAACATAGGATCAGTGTCGCTATAAGCTGAATCTCATTCAACAACAAATCTCTGCAGCCTTTAGTAACAATGCAAAGCCATTCTCATCAAAGTGTATAAGATGGAGAATCAAACAAGCACAAAAAGCCTTTCTAATCTTCTTGACTAATTAGGTGATATCGGATCTTTTCCAAAGTTTTCTGCAGCCATCTTTTTTGTGCAATCTTGCTCGTTACAAACCATTGATGAAAACAAACAGATATCAATCCATCAATAAAAACGTTGATTTCCAAAGCCGTACAAATTTCTAATAACGAAAATGAAACCCACAAGGAATACTTTGATCTTCACGTCGCCACCACTTTCCAAATTTCGTGTCAGAAGAAGTCTCCTTTCACTTCCCTGTGTCCCTGTTCCACCCATTTTCAGATTCCTCCACTTTACAAGCTCAAACATCTTTCAATCACTTTTATACAACACACTATTAAAGAGCAACTAAACACCAAATCAACTTTTTTAACTCATAAACTGCATAAATATGTTTATTGATGTGCTCTCTACATATGCCGGTCATTTTTTGGACATTTTAGTTCAAATTAGATAAAATCTCACTTTTGAGCCAAAAAATGTCTGTTTGGCGCCATCTCTACCTTTTTTGGTGGTACTACATGCGAATTTGTTTCTGGCTTCTTCATTGACTCTGAAATTCTCTATGACATCAGTTGCTTTGTGTGACGTCAGTCTCGTCTGAGCCAGTGATATACAACCATCCAACTCTCACACACGCCCCAGCAGCAGTTTGGAGTATTCTGGTGGCAACTAGTGGTTAAAAATGAAATTACATGAGTAATTCCGAGATTATTGTGTTGATTAGATTCAGGGTAGCCTTAGTACAAATTACATTTTCTACTAAGGTCTGGATTTGCTCCATTGAGCTCCGTGAACAGGTGGGAGGGGTTAACTCCTTTTGCAGATTGAAACGATTGGATCTGAGTTTACCGTGACGTATGTAGTACAATACAATACAATACAATACAATTTATTCTTGTATAGCCCTAGGTCACAACAGAAGTAATCTCAGAGGACTTAACAAAACCATTGAAATCACCAACACAGGTCAGAGAATCAACAGTTAAAACACTTGAAAAATATAAAGCACACACAGAAGAAAATGTCCATACATGTTGTAGAATGCTAAAGTGTCCTGATCATCACCAATCCTTTCTGTTGGACACTAACTGTCCAACAAGACCCTCCTGCATCGACAAGGAAAATCTCTTAAAAAACCCAGTGGGAAAAAGTGAGAAACCTTGGGGAGAACTAGGGAAACCCAAAGGGAGGGAGACCTAAGGGACCTAAGCTAGCTACAGAACTTGGACCAGTGGCCGCTGAACGTGGACAGGTCCGGTGCAGAACTGAAGCACTCCCAAGCGTAGTGTGCCCGAGTGCGTTGTTAGCATTTAGCATTTAGCCTAGCCATCTCCTTTGCCGCTAACGGAGCCCGTGGGGAGTAGAGCCACAATCTTGACCAGCGATTACATTTGCTAAACATTTCTCTTGCTCCTGCTTCAATTTCTTGATAGAACCAGACCAGTGCTCTCTGAGTAGCCGGTCGAAATACGACCGATTGTAATCGCTAACACAGGGACCAGACCAAGACGTTACATGCAGTGAAATGATGATTGACCGGAGTGTACGGATGGCTAAGGCTAGGCTAGATTCAGGTGTGTAGCTGTACAATTATCTTAGTGTGTAAACAAGGGTGGCATGAGACTTTCTGGTCTGTAAACTATTGCTTTAAGCAGCAATGACAACTGTCTGTTTTTTTTGTGTGTGACAAGCGAGCTGTCAATCACAGCCCAGATCACGCCCAACTCTAAGTTCCCCTTCTTGTCCTTTGGTCCTCCAGGCAACGCCCTTTTAAGAGAAAATGTTCAAATCTGCAATTGGTCGGAGTGAGGCTGGGCACAGGTGTTTAGTCGCTCTTTAACTAGCAATGCCTTACACTACAGCTCGTCTCGCAGCTGGAAGGTGCCAGCGTGCCGTGATAGAAGACAAAAATACAGGAACTGGTTACATGGGCATTATTTCCTTTTCATTCAAAATATATTTACGTTAAGGCTTTGTTGATCATTAGCTATTGTTTTTACTTATAACTACATCAATCCTGTCATTTATAAGAAATGTATGTGCTACTCTAGCCATTGTCCCTGGTTTCACAAATGCAATCGATTTATTTTTTGTTTGCTCCTTTTTCAAAATGGAATCCAGTTTGTAGACCCCCCCTAACCTTCCCAAAACAGTGCATCTACCTCCACAGCTATTGTTTTACAGTGCGAGCACAACAATCTCCCTGTTTACATTCTGTTTCACATTAACCCTACTACGCTCCTCTCCGCCATCTCGCGTCATGAAACATTTATAACTCCCACGTTCCTCGGGTCCCTGGATGCAGCACAAACAAGCGGCTGATTATCCCAGGGACATCAAACGCAGCGTGCTGGTGGAACGCTTCATCTTGGACAGGGATTCGGGTCAGATCGTCTCGCTGTGCGCATCACAGCGCTGGCATAGTTTACGCTGTGTTTTGGTTTATTTTTCAGCAGTTGTGTAGAAGGTCGAAGCATTATCAATTTGAAAGTAATATATACATGTATTTATATTTTTCTAGTCAGTAACTCATAAGCTGAACAATATTTTGGTTAGAATGTAATATTTAAATTGTACATGTAGCAGTATCTTTATGTTAATACTTGACTTGAGGGTTACATATTATGCCGCCATGTGTATGAATATTTCTGCACGGTTGTAAAGCCCAGATGAGGGGGTCGATGTGGTGGGTGGTGGGGAGTGGGGGATGAGGTGTGGTGGGGATGTTGTGCGTCACATTACGTCTTCCTGCTGCGCCTGTTGTGACCTGCATTTTCACACACGTCTCTACAGCATACTTTCGCATTCTTTCTTGCTTGTGTTAAACCTTTCATGTGAGCCCCCGGACCATGGTAAAGGAGCGCTGGGGAGTGTGTCGCCCCAGGGCCAAAGGGATGTGTTTCCTACGGGGGATAACTGCCTTCTGCTTTGACCCTCGCTGTCACAGTGTGGTGCTATTGCAATAACACTTATTTATAATATATAAACATATAATAATATATATATATATATAATAATAAACTTGTATTTATTTATTGGAATGGGACAGTGCATGTCAATGAACAGACACATTAAAAACATTTGTAAACATGCCAGATTATGATATCCACCTGCAGTCCCATATTCAAGAGTTACTCTTCATTTTGTGGCCAAAACACACCAACATGCATTTGCATCCTGCCTGGCTTCGATCACTCTGCTCGTATGGCACACTTTTCATTCTTTCATTCTCGTTCATTCATTTCTCAGACTCACACCATTTACTCCAAGGCGCGCTCCCGTGTCTGCCGCACGCCCGCAACCACAAACAAACACTTCTTTTTCACATCCACACATTGACTCTGATGCAAAGAGCACGATCCATGCTCCAGCTTTTGGCAACAGTTGCCGAGTGTAAACAGGAAGAGAGATAGTTGCTGAAGTTAGTATTAGCACAACCAGCCGGACCGAGCGTTGTACTACAGTGCTTTTGGGCTGGCACGGTTGAAAAAAAACCCCTTGTGACCTTAGGCTGTCTTCACACCCCTGTGGCAACGATCCGGGCCACTGGCCTCTGTTTGTTTATGAAAAAATTTGACCATGCCCTTTGAGTTAAGAAATTGTGTTCTGATTCCTGACATCCTGGACTTTCATTTACTTGGTGATATTAGATTGTGCCAAATATAGCGGTAATTTAGACAGCAATAAAATAAATAATAAAAATTAATTCTGTCGCTTATACTGTATATGGATCAGGAGAATAAGGTTATAAAACTTCCACACAAGTCACGCATGTAACAATATTGAAACTCTTACCATAAAGGTCTGGGTTGTTGTTTGGGATCTTCCCTTTATAAAGTTGGCCTAAATGTGTATATTGTGCCACATGGATAATCAGTGTAGGCCATTAAAGGACTACACTACAAGAGAGATTGAGTCGATCATGTCAATCATGTTTAAGAACCAAAATGAGTAATAATAATGATAATAACGTATCATATGTTTTCATGTTTTGTGCTTTTGCCCTTGCAGATGGCCGTCCTCTCTCCTATTGGCTGGACCAGAGCGGAGAGAGGCGGAGTTACTGGGGCGGCTTCCTGCCTGGAGTGCAGCAGTGCTCATGCAGCCTGGAGGAGAACTGTGTGGACATGAACTACTTTTGCAACTGTGACGCAGACGCAGACACCTGGTACGCGCTCATGGTGCTGTGTGCGCCGCCGTAGCAGAACTAACAGACTCTTTAGCGCCTCTATCTGCTCACCACCGACTTACTTTGATGATGTTTCTGAATGAATTTGGCTTGTCTCAAGATGAAAGAATTGATACCAAAATATCTAATGCTAATACGAACGCAAAGTCTGTGTAAAAATGAATTCAGTATGTGAACTGACCATGGGAAAAAGTCTAATCAGAGGCATGTTGAATCATTCACAGATTTTGAAAGCTTAGATTCTTGGCTTTCCAAAAAGTATAACATGTGGAAATAACATATTATTTAGGATCGGTGGTCATTTGAAATTGAGGTCACCTGAAATCACAAAGCTGAGAAAAATCTGCTAAAAGTCTTCCCTTTTTCTTCCCAGTTCAGGAGCAGGCAACACATACTGTAACTACTCATTTGCATAGAATTAGACTAACAAATAATGTTATCTGAGACACTGAGGGGTATTTTATAGTCTTATCAAACATAATGTGTTTCCTAGTGCCTGTCACATATTGTTTTCTTGTAATCACTTATCTTTTTGTTGTCTTTAGGTCCAATGACTCCGGCGTGTTGTCATACAAAGAGCACCTCCCGGTCAGTCGCCTGGTGGTGGGAGATACAGACCGCTCGGGCTCAGAGGCTGTGTACCGCATAGGACCTCTGCGCTGCTATGGAGACAGTAGGTGACCACATAATAGCCTCATTCCCATCGCGCAGAAACTCCAGGGGCTCCCTTAAGCTGCACGACACAGACTGCTGTGTCTAAATGATTCAGCCTTCGACCTGCCTTACGACCTTTCTTTTTGCTGAGGCATTGTTCAGTGTGGGTACTCCGACCAAATTGAGGAGTACCCAAGTAAAAGTGCATTAGTGATGTTACTATCTTAACATATTGTTTTCTAGAAGAGAAGAAGGTAATGACAGCTCTAACTTCCTGTTGCCTGGTCTACAAAAACTAAATCCCTTTATTTCTATTAAGAAGTCCTTTTTTGATCCCCCATAGGAAAATTTCCTGCAGCAGAAAAACATCCATACAAGTACAGACATTATAAATAAATCTAACAAACTAACAATAGTGCACATGTTCAACTCAGGAATCAATAGACAGAGATAAGACAACACTGTTTTATAGCCCGAAGCTTGTGTGGGTGAGGTGAAGAAGGTTCAACATGTGGTTAAAAACACACTATAATAGTGGGAAAAATACACACATGTATACAAACTCCACTTTTTAGATAATTAAATCAGGACTAAATCAGGTAAGTTGTTCCTGTCCTCAGAATCTCAATGACCCTTAAGTGGCCACGTCCAATTTAAGTCTATGGTTCAAAGACAGACAACTAGAAGCAGAAGTGCAATAGTTTCAGGATACGATAACTGCGGACGAGCAAGTATTGTGTCTCTGTTTTTGTCCACTAGGTGAAAATGAAAGAAGAAACTAACGTAAAATAGGCATTTCATAAGTTTTTGTCCAAACTGTGGTTTTAGTATGTTTTTGTGTAGCACATACAAGATAAATAATGCCAGTGATAATGGATATTACTTTAGGATTATATTTGTAATTGCAGTACAGTTATAGCGCTAATGCTAAGTAATTATAGTCTTATTTGAACATCACTTAGCATCCTTGTCTTGTCAATTGAACTCTTTTCTTTTCCTTTAAACAAACAAAAATACACAATAGTGCAATAAAGCCAGCCTGACAGATCAATCTATCAATCCTTTATTGTCTCACAGATGGAGAAATTCAGTTCGATGAATAAACATCAAAGCTGATGACAGTTATTCAACATGAGAAGAAATAGAAAGACACCCACACAATTTAGTTTTAATTTAGTTTATTTGAAAGTAGGACAGAACATAATAATCAATGTGTCAATAGCTTAAGTGCATCCATTGTCCTTATGGGTAATGTGGGGAACCAAAGACACAGTTCGACATCATGGAAACAATAGACAAACAATCTGAGTTTAAAAATACACCAAAAGCTTGTGTTAAAATGACATTGAGCTGGAATAAGGATTCACTTTATATAGTTTAAATATTTGTTCATAATAGTGATATCAGTATTTTCTATCATAAGCCATGACTCTAAATAACTTGATATGAATAAAAAGATTAAATAAAATTATTATGACTAATAATAGTATAGAATTCTAGTGCTTTTTATGGCTCCTCAGTGGATTACACTAGTTTGCAATCGGCTCAAAATAATTTAAAATTGACACACATTTGCTCCCATTAATGTGATTTATTTCGGTATTAATAGTCTCTTAAATTAGAATCTTGTTGACTAGTTTTAGGCTTGATTAAAGGTTCCATATTACGCTTTTCAAACATTCATTCAAACAGAGGCAGATCCCTGTAAAAAAAAGTCGAGCCGCATTCTTCCTCTAGTGCAGAGGTGTCCAAACCGGTCCAAAAAGGCTGCTGTGGGTGAAAATTTTCTATCAGACCCAGCAGGAGCAGCGCAGACTCCTCTCATTTCATCAAATCTTCAGGTTAAGGCTGAACTCACTCGAGGAAATGGGCGGAATCTGCGCCCATATATATATTTATATACATACATATATATAATATGTGAATGAAATGAAACATAACTATACATTCTACTTGTTTTCTCCACTGCTTTAGGCAGTGTCAAAGTGTTCAAAGTGCTCCAATGTTTGTGCGTCATGAATTACTGCTGCACTTGTGCCCCTTGAAAACACTTCGTCTTTTTCTTTACGCACTCAGAAAACACTCAAACAGTGGGAGGAACCTTGACATCCGACACATCCAAGCCCCGGTGATCCAAGATGGCGCCCTATTCAAATGAATGGCTTCCTGTTCTGGAGGTTCTTTATAAATCCAGACTTTTAAACAAAGCTCTTAGGATTGTTAATCCTAAGAGCGGCACGGTGGCTGAGTGGATAGCACTCTCGCCTCTCAGCAAGAAGGTCCTGGGTTCGAATCCCGGTCGGACCAGGGCCTTTCTGAGTGGAGTTTGCATGTTCTCCCCGTGTCTGCGTAGGTTTCCTCCGGGTACTCCGGTTTCCCCTACCACTAAAAATATGTCCAATAGTTCTGGCATGCGCCTCCTGTACTGGCGACCCCGCTCCCATCTCTGTGTGGAGTGAGAGACAAATGCCCAAAAATTGACAATTGTAAACCGCTTTGAGACTCAGATCTGCAGTGAAAAGGCGGTATATAAATACAAACTTACTTACTTACTTACTTACTTAATGACTCTTCAGGCCACCCTGGGAAAGCCATGTTCCAGCTTCTTCCCTCTGGCAGAAGATATCGCTCTATGAGATGCAGGACATCTCGTTACGCAAACAGTTTTTATCCACAAGCTGTTATCAGTGTGAACAGAGCACTTTAATGATTTGCACTTGTTTTGAAACTTTTAGTCGATCGATTTCACAGTGACATTTGTTTACTGTTTTATTTCTGTCTTTTAATGTTGTTTTATGTCTGTATTTGTCTGTGCACACTTCCAATGTGTTTTACTGCAAATGGCAAATAAACTGAATCTGAATCTGATCTCTTGTGCTCAGTAGAGCATGGGACTTCACAGAGACCGGGAGATTAGCAGAACTCGCCTGTATTTGGGCATCATCTGGTCCTCCCGGTTCTGCGCAGTGGACGAGCTCCCATGATGCTTTGCGCCAAACATGCGTGTGTGTGGCTCACATGCATGTGCACAGAGGGGCTCGGCCACGCTCTGACCAATCAGAGCTGCTGATCAGAGCAGCAGCAGAGCGGAGTCAGAGCGGGAAGGAAAACAGAAGGATTTAAGAAGTGAAAAAGTTCAGGATGACAAGGGACACAGAAATTCCCACAAAATCTAATTTTTCTGGAAGCCGTAGGTTCTCTGTCAGCTGAGGTCGAGCTGTTTTAATTTACATTGAGTTCTATGGGACTTTTTTCTGGGTAGCCCGCATGAATTTAGTCTGCAGTACCACGGGCGCCCCCTGTGCCCATGGGTGGGACAGCTGTAAGCTAGTAATACTAGTAATATTATTGTCATGACGCACAGATATCTATATGACTTGTTTTATATCTATATGCGCTTGTTTTAGTCACCTTGCTCTATCACCCAGACCATAGCAGTGAAAAGTCCAGGAATGGGCTTGTTTTGAAGGGAAGGCTGAGAGGAAGACGAACATACCCAGTGACGCTAGGTAAATAGTACCATGTTCTCTTCATACAGTGCGCAAAGAACAGGTTTTATTTTGGTTTGTGCAACTTTCAATGCTCAAATGTGTTGTTTTAAGTGGATATCTACTATGAGGCTGACTTTGAAGAAAAAAACAACTTGATATAATTATTCTATGGACCCTCACGGACAAAATAATGCAAACATCTGTGGATTAGACATGATTTGCCCCAAAATATTAGAATGAAAAAGTTAGAAAGGACAATATTTGTTTTATATATATATATATATATATATATATATATATATATTAGGGCACATTAGTTCTGACTAATTACCAAGTTTGAGTTTGAGTTCAGTTAGAGTTACGTTAGAGTACAATAATAATCACTTAATTAGCAGATAATTAGTGTGGGCTAATCTAAAGTGTTCACAAAAGTTGAATACACACATCAATATGTTTAACACTAGAAAACCCAACCGAAATTGGCCCCTGTTTTGAGAAGAGGGAGCTAACTTGCTAGGTTGGCTGCTAACATTTGCATGTATTGATTTGCAAATGTAGGTAATGACTTATAACAGCAGGGGGCTGGGGTGGGCTTTGTTTATTCGTGCGGTGGAGGGAGAGCTGCAAGAGAGTACTACAGTAGTCTGTGAGACCACAGATACACATGTGCTGTGTACCCTGAGAATGCGCTGTATATATTTTGTAATCAGTTTTTCTCAGTGTCTTTGGTGCATTTTTCACATAATTCTTCACATTTTAACAACAGTTAGTGCATTTCTCAGAACAATGAGTGCAAACTGCAAAACCTCATGGATAACCTGCTAAAAAGTCACTTTCTCAAAATGAACTTAATTCCTCAAAAGAAAGTCTTCATGTCAATGAAACTGTCTGTGTCTCAAAAGAATAAGTCCTGACACCAGTGTTTATGAACAACAGTCAAATGATTTAGTCATGTTTTCATTGTGACTGTATTTAGTGATACATATGTATGTACTGTATGTTCACATATTTACTGCTTATGCTCTTTGCAATTCTACAGCATTCTGCAACAAAAATAGTACACATACAGTATTTACGTAGAAAAACATACAAAAAATCATTACGGTAGAACCTCCACAACATTGAGTCGTGTGTGACATCATCGCGGCAGTTTCTCCTTTGAACACTTTACAAATGCTTTTGGACATGTATCAGTTACTTTCATACAGTTCTCTGCTGTTTTATAACATTAACATTTGCTTCTGTCCTGTCAATCAGAATGAAACATACTTTTCACAACTGAATAGTTTCTGTAAAACCAGTAGTCCTCATTTCATCGCTTTGGTCATCACATACAAAACTGTTCAAAACCAAAATCTGTCAAACTAATTTCATACATTACTTTATCTTTTTATATCCAGAAAATCTTTCCTAATTTCGAATTTCAGCTTCACTCATGACGAGGTGTGTGTTTTATTGTTTACATTCGTCACAACTCTACCATAATGATATTCTGTATGTTTGCTCTATGTATGTGACTGTATTTCTG